CATACGACAAATACCCTCCTACACGACACTGGACGCTTGTTGTTAACACCTGATTATTTCGTGGGTCGACAGATTTTCCCCTTCTTTTAGTATAGTCACTTAAACACCTAAGTGCTTTTTTTCCTTTTTTTCCTTCCTTCCAGAAGTCCCATCGACTAGCATCTACCTATATCTCACCACTCACTTTTTTTTCTTTCTTTTCAAGAAAAGAAACAGAAAAAAAAACTGATAAAAGGAAATATCCCAATGCAAGACACCGATGTTCTCCACAAGCTTTCATGAGAGGAAAAGGGGTTTCGGCCCCGCCTACTATAAGATAGCAACAACCATAAACCATACAAGCATGATAAGCCCCCAAACTACAGAAAACACGAACCAGAAGCTCAAAGGAAGCAGAAGTAGAAAAAATCAAAAAAATAATTCTGGCAAACGGGATGTAAAGAGCTATCTTGGTGAGGATGCATGCATGAATAGAACACATGAGGAAGAAGTTGAGAATGAATTAAAAATTCGAAAAGGGCAAGCAACCCGAAGTTTAGAGGCCACCGCTCTTCCTGAGATGTTCACTAGATGCAAATTAGAATCACAGAGAAAGATAAATAAACGGAGGAGATGGATAGTATACAATCTCTTGTAAGTGTAACCGATGAACGGCAAACCGGTTTCCTCACCAATTGCCAATGGCTGTGAACTTCCCTCGGACATGACAGCTGCAAGTGCAGGGGCGGTCGGCACATTCTCCAGCTCCTCAGTCGGGAAATAGCTATCGAGGGTAACATTAGCACTTTGCTTAAACCCCTTCGATTAGTAAAGGTTAAGGATAGCACTTACGATGTGTCAGTAATGGATGACAAATTGGGTTTAAACGGGGCCTCAATTGATCTTAAGCTGTCCCAATTCACGCCATTGAAAAAAGGATGTGCCTTAATCTCGTCTGCGCCACGCTTTCCCAATCTCTGATCCGCCGAAGTAATTAATCCTCTGATGAGATCTTCCGCCTCAGGACTGAGAATAATTTCCTCCGGAAAGTAAAGTTGGGTCTGCCAGTTGACAATCTTCCTGTATGTCTCATGGGCGTCTTCGGCACAGAAAGGTGGCCACCCAACCAAACATTCGAACATAATTGTTCCCAAGCTCCACCAATCACATTCTTGACCGTATCCTTTATTAAGGAAAATCTCTGGCGCAATGTAATCAGGAGTTCCGACCGTAGAGTATGCCATAAGTCTACGAGATTTCCTCCAAGTGTTGATCTGATTACGATTCGAGACGGTAAGGTGAATAGCGTCGACCATCACAGAATTGCGGGCACGGTTGTTTGAGGTTTCAGGAGTATTGGAACTTCCTTCCAACAAACGCTGATAGTATTTTTGGTCATGGGTCTTGTGAAAACCAGTCGAAAGACCAAAATCTGAAAGTTTTATATGCCCATCTTTGTCAATGAGAATATTATCCGGTTTGATATCGCTAGGAAAGTAAGCACAAGATCTCTAGTGCTATAAGGGGGGCGTACCGGTGAATAAAGCCAAGCTTGTGAACTGCCTCAATCGCCAGAACACATTGAGCCATATAAAACCTTGTAACATCCTCACTAAATATTTCGTATTTAATGAGCATAGTCATTAAATCCCCACCAGGCAAGAACTCCATGATCAGGTACAGATATACAGCGTCCTGGAAAGAGTAGAACAAATTGACCACCCACGGAGAATCAGAATCAGCTAGAACGTCTCTCTCAGCCTTCACGTGCGCTAATTGATCTTTCTTAAACATTTCCGACTTAAGTAAAGTTTTCATCGCATAAATTTTCCCAGTGTCTCGCTTCTGTACCAGGCGAACTTCACCAAATGCCCCCTTGCCAATAACCTTGACAGTTACAAAATCATCGGCATGAAGGCGCATCCGGCGGAGCCGTAGGAATGATGACTCTTGTTTCCCGAGATGTTGACGACGACGTTTTTTTCGCTCCTCGGACATCTTGCCTTCGCCTAGGATATCCTGTTCAAGCTCAACACGTCTGCGGGGAGAATCACAATTGTCAGTACAAGACATTTAAAACGTGATTAAACATGACCGATGCAACCTCCAGATCTTCTGCACTGAAAAATGTTTGTGTCTCACCTTTGATTTCTCTCTACGGCATACGCAACACTCTGATTATAGTGAAGCTCCACCTTGACTTTGAGTGCTTTCGCTCTCTCCCTTGTGGACGAACTGAAAGTGCTATCATCTCGAAGAAAGACAACGTAATCATCTTTCAAGCTCCCAGAAGCCTGTAAAGAACCGGATGTACGTGGTCGTTGACCCTGCGGAGAGCCCGGTGGATTGTTCTGATTGCCCTGGCGTGCGCTTAAATGTTGATTTTGCAACTGGTGTGCAAGCCCGTTTGCATCATAACCTTGTCCCTGCTGCTGATAAAGCTGCTGAGTCTGAGTCTGAAACTGTTGATACTGCTGTTGCTGAGGGTATTGTGGATTATTGTACAGAGCATTACCGAACTGCTGCTGCTGTTGCTGAGGGAAATAACCTCCTTGCTGCGGCGGCTGACCTCCATAAGTTTGCTGGTACGCGGTACCAGGAGTAGTCGGGTAATTGCTATTTGGAGAAGCACCACGGTCTCGATCTTGATTGTTGCTCATTGTTGCGGATAATTTGGTCGAGGAGAGAAGCTCCTGGATGAGGGGGGGGTACCAAGATAAAGTATTAGCTTAGATGTGGAAAGATTTATCCGTGTAGATCACCAGAAGGTGGAGGCTGAGGGAAGCGAAAAAGAAAAGAAAAAAGAAAAAAAGAAAGAGGGTTGGAATACTTGCACACAAGATGGGTTAAACGGCGGGGTGTGTAAAGTGTTGTAGGGTTCCCTCTCCTTTTATGAGTGCAAGGTAAGGGGGGGGTTCAAATCACTCGCGACACAGCTGGTATCGAGGATGTCGTACGTTGTACAACACAAAAAAAAAAAAGAAGAAGAGTTGGGGCAAAGGTAGAGCAGAGAGAGAGGAAGTGTGAAGAAGGAAGGTGGTGAGTGAGTCGGGAGAGGTGGATTTGGAGCAGAGAAGTAGCAGTTAGATGGACCGAGGGCAGAAGCGGAGGCGAGAAAGGGACTTGAAACTCGAAACTCCAGTACAATACGGTGCAGTAGCGGCTGCCCGGTCAAGGGAAAATACGCTGTTATTCCAATCAATGCTGGAGTACCTGGTAACTACGCAGGAGAATTAACAATCAAAAGGGCAACGAATCAAGTACCCGCAGGTTGGGACTCCAATGTCTAATACCACGGAAAGGCGCTTGTCCCAATCTCTACCGCACAGTACCATATCTCTAGAGTAGATCAACTGAGTTACTGGCGAGGTGACACCAAGGACGGCGGCTCCTTGCCAAATCTTTCCATGCTGCCCCCCGTCTATGCACCATTTATGAGGGTACTCGAGTATCATACCATGGTATACTTTAGAGTATGTGCTGTAGCTTTCTACCAGTGTTCCATTTGGCTTCTCTGGTTCCCATCTGACTATGTGGGAATTGTTTGGTATAAGAGCGGTAGAGAATGTAAAAAAGAAAAGGCTGGTTCTGTCTATAGATGTAATTTGACAGCAGAAATTATGCCGCACCCACAGATTATACTATACAATTCATACACAAGTATAGTCTCTTGTATAGAGGTGCCTTTTTATACTCTTATGTCCCTGTAGTTATTTCTAAAGCAGAGAAAAACTCCAGTAAATACCAGGTTGCATGGCCTTGTTAAGCGGAGATGATCTGTATAGACTCAGAATTGTCTAGGCCAATCAAGATTCATTTTGTAGATGGAGATTTGTCTAGGAAGGCTCAAAGGATTACTTGTTTCATTTATGACTACTAAGAGTAAAGGTAAAATAAGGTTGAATTGTAAAACAATATTATATTGTTAAGGTCTCTTCTCCATTACTTAATGATATCTAAAAGATTGTAAGGCACTTCAATATATATATTTCATGTCTGAGTGTTCACAGACTAGATCTATTTCTCATACAAATTATGTACCTCTTTAACTATAACTCACAATGTCAGGTATTCTCCCAAAGTGAGAACACTAAGAGACTCTGAAAACCATTACACTATCTTTGGTAATTACTATTATGCCAATTGGGAACTGTACTGTTTTCAATAGTAATTATCCGATCTTCAGATTTTATCAGACTTATGGCCTAGTTCTTAAGTTGAACTGTATTGTCCCCAATTGTCTCTCTTATTGATGAAATGATGAGTTTCATCTACAGGTCATGTCTGCAGGAGTAGTTGTAAATGTAATCTTCTTAGTTCGCCTACTTTAAACCTCTATAACTCCTGATCCAATCAATATATATTCTTTAAATAACTTCCTACTAATTCGCAGAAAGCCACTCTACTGGATTGATAGATAATCCCTCAGTTGGCAACTCTAGTTGTTTAAGGTAACAGGTTTTTTTTTTCTCTTTACTCATTGTTTGGCATTTGGAGATAATTCTCACAATTACAACACATCCCTGGACTCAGTTATAACACTCTGTAAAGTCTATTGGATTCTTTGGTAGTGTTCCTCAGAGTGCTATATTCTTCTAATTATCGTAGAATAGATGAGAATGTACTAGCTCTTCATATGAATTCTCTAACATTCAATATCAAATCTTTGTATAAAAATGTCCTGTTACTTACAGTCTATTTAAAAGATATTCCATCATTGAAGCTTAGTAACTTTCTTTGAGTAGTTAATAGATTTACTTCTTTCTACTTCCCAGATCTAGTCAAAGGTCTCCTCTCATATATACCACAAACAGAATCTGGTCAGTCAGTCAGTCGTAACGTATACGGAGTTATTCTGATACTTTCAATTCTGTAGCATTATAATCACAGGATACAACTAAGAGAGATATGTATGATGACAAGTAGACCTGTAAGGAGCCTAGTGTTAGGTGGAGACAACTTGATAGACTTCAAGATTATCTAGGCCAATCGAGATTCGTTTTTTGTAGATGGAGATTGTCTAGGAAGGCTCGGACTTGGCTCGTTTCGTTTATGACTACTAGGAGCGAAGTAAAGTAGGTAAGGTAGGGTAGAATCCTAAAAACAATATTATATTATTAAGGTCTCTTCTCCGTTGCTTGATAATGTCTAAAGCTTCGGAGGCACTTCAATATTTATATTCCGCGTCTGAGTGTTCGCGGACTACATCTATTTATCATACAACTATGTACTTCTTCAATCGTAATTCGCGACGTTGAGTTTTCTTCCAAGGTGCGAACACCTGTGGATCCTGAAAACCATCACACCCTCTTCGATAATTGCGATATTTCTTCTTAGAAAACATACTGTCCCCAATAGTAATATCTCGATTAGCAAAGTCTTTAGACTTATAGCCTAGTTTTTAAGTCGAACTGAGTTGGCTCCAATTGTCTTCGCCTTTGATAAAATGATCAGTCTTATCCACGGCTATATCTGCAAAGGTGGTCATTATTATAACCATCATAGTTTATTTGATTCTAACCCTTTGTAACTCCATACCCAACCAATAGATTTTCTTTGGATGACTTCCTATTCACTCACAGGAAGCCACTCCACTAAACTGGTAATTAATCCCTCGGTCGGCAACCTTTGGTTGCTCTTTGGGTAGTAGGTTTCAGTAACCATCGTCGTATTTGAGAATCACCCCATGACTACAATGTGTTCCGAAACCCAGTTGCAACACTCCGTGAAGTTCGTTGGCTTCTTTGGTAGTGTTTTTTGGAGTTCTAGACTCTTCTGGTGTATGCAATTGTATCGGTCTCTAGTAGAGATCCTTTACTATTTGATACTATCTCATTTGTGCGAAATCGTCCCGTTACTTACTGCCTATGCCAAAGGTGTCATGCCTTTGAAGCCTAGTAACTTTCTGAGTAGTTGACGGAAATACTCTGTTCTACTTCCCAGGTCTAGCCGAAGGTCCCCTCTCATATATCCTGCGAACAGGATCCAGTCGGACGGACGGACGGTGGCGACGTATACGGTGTTATTCTAACACCTTTAATTCTGTAGTAATGTAGTCACAGGACGCAACTGAGATTGATATATATGATGACACACGGGCCCCGTAAGGGAGCCGGAGGGGGGTGTTGGAGACCAGAGATTCTGATTCCAAGTGGGGTTACCCTACTTAGAGTGGTCCCTAGGTATCGGGTTCTGGTATTCCTAACAGCCAGAGAGGGGTGTTGGAGACCAGAGATTCTGATTTCAAGTGTGGTTACCCTACTTAAAGTATTTCCTAGGTGTTAGATCCTAGTACTCCTAACAGCTCACCACTGACATGTTTGTAAAATGAAGAGGTTTTACTTCTGCAATTGCATTAGAGATGCAGTAGCTAAAGCACAACTGTCAGGTAAGTGTTAGCAAACTATCAAGTAGTCTAATTCGCTATGGAAAATCTTTAGTCCAACCTGTAGAAGTTGACTAGACAGCCCATGGGAGTTGAGTGCTCATGAATGCAAAGTGGTAATGAGGAGTTTATATATATATATATATATATAATTGTATAAGTTTTTTTTGTATGCAATATTATACACTTCTATGATTGTTAATAATACTTTTATAAAATTTATAACAGAAAACACAAAATTCTGAAGCAAATATAATAGAAAATAAAAGATATCTAAAAAATAATAGCAAGAATAAAATGTAAACAAGATCCTGTCTCTACAATTATGTTAATTATATACAGTATTGAGCACTTAATTACAGGAAGACCATACTACTAGACAAGAAACAAGCACACTTGAGTTCTTAAAGTGCATGAGTAGCAATATCACTGGTAGTTAATTGCAAATTACTGGTATGCTCATCTGGAAAAATCAGTATTCTTAAAGCAAAATACTAAACATATAGTAGGATAAGATTAGATATATTATAAGTAACTCTGCTACTTGGTTATAACTTTACAGCTAATTATTAACAACTGTTCACTGATTTAAACTTTATATTATTAATTTATCCTGATTTCATACTTGGAATTCACATTCTTTTTTTCACATTCTTTTTTTATTTATATTCTCTTGTTTTCTTTTATTTTATCAGTTTTACAAAGTACTATAATAGCAATAAAAGATTTTGCATACAAAAAAACCTACATAATCAATTTTCTGTGATATCTGAAGGTACTGTAGCATTTAAAAGATAATTTATATAAGCTGTATAGCATTTGAGATCTTTACTGTAATAGTAATACCAGTAGTATTAATATTATATATTAAATAGAATAATAATATTCTTATAAGATATAAGAAAAATAATATAAATGGTAAAGATCTCATATGCCATTAATATTTTCAAAAATCTCCTCAAATGCTACAGCACCCTCAGATGTTACAGAAATGTATTATATAAGTTTTGCTTTTATGTAAATTAAATACAAATTAGGTTTCTCAATACAAATTATTTACTTAGTCTTGGCATGGGTAAAGGAGAATTCCTATTATACCGGAACAGGTATTTTCTACATTACCATTTTTTTCTCTCTCTAAATCAACTTTGTTCTTCCCCCACACCTTCTTCTCTTCTGCTACTTTCCCTCCTCAGCCAATCTACCTCCATTGTAACGATCCCTCTTTGGATAGTTAGTGCTTGGCGACGGGGAACGATACTTCTCTTCCTGTCTTCTTCTTCCTTTGTCTTATGATAGCTCTAGGACTCTGCCTACGTTACTGATAGTACAAGACCCTTGTCTTCCATCAGGACCGCCTATCGTAAGCTTTCTCTAACTCTTCTTCTTAAAGCGCCTTCCTTGGCGTAACGATAATGTTGCAATAAAGATAAAGATCGTAAAGGTGTTTTATATTCGTTAAAGTAATAAGTAGGAAAAGTACTTAGAACAAAGCGTGAAGAACCTATCTTCCTCGGCCGCATCGGCCTCCTTATATAGTGTTCTTCCCGCCTTTAGTCATGTGACCTGAAGTGGTCACATGTGCGAAACTAAATCATAACAAACCAGTCATATGACCAAAGTGATCACATGCTCAAAACCCATGACCTCATAGCGAGGTCATGTGCGAAACTCATAAACCAATCATAACGCAATAAATAAGTCATATGACTCGACTGAGTCATATGCACCAAACCCATGACATCATAATGAAGTCATGTGCAAAACATAAATTATATGTGCAAGGCTTACCTGTAAGGCACACTCATAAGGCATACTCGTTAGACGCATGTCCCATGACTCATACTTGAGCCATGTGCGAAAGCATCACAAATCCCACACATAACTAATCATATAACCCGAATAAGTTATATGCGTGAAACAATAATATACCTGTGACTCATAACCATGTGTCACGTGAAAACCCTTTCCTCGCTAAGCCACGTTTGTGACATCCATCCTCCTTTTTCACTCTTCCTCCTACCATAAAATCTCTTGCAATCTACTATCTTCAGTAGCCCCTACTCTTTATATTCTAAATTAAAAGTTCTTAAAAACAAATCTGTATTTCCCTGATACGGTATAGCCTGAGTCACTTGTCTATACTAGATCCTATTACCTTTATAATTAAAATCTATCTTAGTGAAAGTCACCAGTTATAGGGATGTTTGTGACAGACTGGAGATAGAGATTTTACAATACTCTAGAATTTCTCGCTCTCTATATTTTACTCTATTCTCTTCTCGCTTTACTCTTCACTCCTCACTCTATACTCTCCACTCATCTCCCTCAGCTCTTTGCTTCTTGCTCTGCACTCTCTGTACTTCTCCCTACTTGTCACTTCTTGCATGACTAGTAAATCTCTTTTTCGTAGTATAATTCTCTCTGATGTATGTACTTAGACTTTTCTTTCTCTGAATTTTCTACTATGCAAAAAATTCCTTTTAAATAAAATTTTAAAATTAATTATCAAAAAACTTACATAATCAAATTTTGTAGTATCTGAGGCTACTATGGAATTTGAGGGGATTTTTGAAAACATTAATGGCATATGAGACCTTTGCCATAATATAAATTATACTTGTATAAAATGAGCCTGTACTAATAGAAAACCCACTCTAGAACAACAATCACAAAATATTTATTTTTGCTTCACCACTTAGCTTGAGGTGTAGAGTATATATCTAATAGTTTAGAAAATATTTTTAGAATAGTAATAACATCTCTAGCATTCTCTATATGCAAAAAAAGGTAATATTTTCAAAATCTACTTCTTAGTATATAAAATAACTTCATCTGATGCATAAGTACAACTAATAATAATTGCTGATTCTTAAGACTTGTGGAGTTATTTGACATTAAAGTTGGCTAATCTGCTGATTTTTGCTAGTTGCATCAAACTAAAAGTGGCCATATCTTAAAAATGTTTTCTGGGATCTCTCTTGTTGCAACACATTTTTCTGCCCTTAGAAAAAATGTCCCAGAGTCAGGTTTTAATTAGTACAGGCTTAAATATTGTAAAAATCTGAAGAACTATTTAGAGGAATTTATATTTCCTCAGACATTCAATCACCATATTATACTACTAGTTTTTACATATAGTGCTAGGCTAACTGCCAGCAATAAGTACATATATGATGGTGAATATTTTCCTTATTCTCCTAACATGCCAGAATATAATTTTTTAATATAATATTATTATAGCTAAATAGATGATTGTTATAAAATATATATGAAATTATATTGTAGTAAGTAACTGATTAGATTGTGTAAGGTGAATTGGTGGAAAAAATAACAACACCTGTACTCATGCCAAGGTTGTAACATGTCATCACAACCCTCATTGCTCATTTTCTCACAAACTGTGACACTTATACTGAGTGCCTGACAGTTTAACCTGAGTGGACAGTTCAATGTGAGTTTGTAACCCGGTATAGAAAAATTGAGTCTTGTCTTACAACAGTTACTTAGACACAGTTTGCTGTAGTCCAAGCACTAAAATAAGTAAGTTATTTATATTTATCAATATGTGCCTAGGATATTATTAGCTATAGTATCTTGACTATTCACCTTTTCAGGGGGGTACTTGGTTGGTAACTGTTTATTAGATATTGTATTAAGTAAAGGTTCCTGACTACAGGCCACAAGTTACTATTGAGCCACAAACTCATGTTGAACTGTCTACTTATATTGATCTGTCTATTTATGTTGAACTGTCTACTTATGTTGAACTGTTGGGCATTCAGTATGAGTATCCCAGTGTACAAGAAAACGAGCAACGGGGTTGTGATGACATGTCACAACCTTGGCACAAGTAGTTGGTCTAGTGGTTTAGCATCATACGTCTGCTAGTAGTTTTCAGCGGATTTTACATTTTCCGTACATGTCACTAGACATCACTAGACATCACTCGATTTAGCTCCGACTCTCTAGAATTCTCATGTGCCAAGACCCACCCTGACCCTTGTTGAAGCCCAGTCTACAAGCAAGATAATAAATATAGACTACTCGTATTCTCTTTCCATGTTCCCCTTATCCCCAGCCTCGTGCTTCTCCCAATCCGCTGGTATTATTGGAGGTTACACTGTGCAAAGTTAGGTTAAGAACAGCATATTCTGAAGACTCTTGCACCTATGTGTGTTCCCGACATACTGGTACTCACAGCGACATGTCGTACCGGTACTTGTACCTCCCGGCACGGTTTTACTGGTCCACACACCGGTATCTCCCATACGAACACGGCCGATAGATATATCCTTCACGTGAAGTCTGATGAGAAAAATTTAATGAGCCATTCTGTCGCAGTGCACAGAAAAGGCACGTGACAGATACATCTATTGACAGCACAAGTACGATACTTGACCTGCACAATATGCAGAGGGTAACAGCCCTAGCCTTAAGTCTTGGCAAAAGTTGATTGTGGGAAAGGCTATTTTCTGGGCTTCATCCCACCTCACATCTCAAACCGGATTGAAAACCCCACCAAAATCTACGAGAAACTATCCCCCCCACCTCGAAACGCCCTGCAATTATGGCCGACAAATCAAAAATAGTATTGTTGGTGTTCCCTAACTTCTTGATTTAACTCTTTCTACATATCCACTAATTCTCGAGGAAAAAGGCCGGCATCTGGTCCACTTAAATCTGTTCAAGTCGACGCTTTAGTGGTTCTCAAGATCTGCAAACATGCTTCCTCAGCACACCCTCAGGTTATAACTGGCCAGCTTCTTGGTATAGTCGCTCCTATTAATAGTCCAATGTCATTCAACTCTGACAGCATTTTAGGAATGGACGTGGATGGCGAACTGCAGGTTACGAATTCATTCCCTTTTCCCTCTACCGACCCGTCGACATCTTCCAACGATCCTGATAGCAACTTGGCGTCTGCAGCTGCTTTGGCTCCACGATCAAAGGCAAGTGCCTGGTATCAGACGGAAATGGTGAGGTGCCTGAGGGAAATGAACGTGGATGCAAACTCGGTAGGATGGTATCAGAGCGCTAATTTGGGTAACTTTGTGAGTCCCAAATTCCCAACACCTGTTTGTCGCTGGGGACTTATTAGTGGCAATAGTTGAACACAAATTTCATTGACAACCAATACTTTTATCAAAACGCTCTTAACGAAAGAACTGTTGCTTTGGTTCATGATACTGCCCGGAGTGCCCAAGGAGCTCTATCCCTAAGGGCTTTCCGTCTTACGCCGCAATTCATGGCTGTTCAGAAGGAAGGGAAATTTACTAGTGAGAGGTATTTTCTGATATCCTTGCTAAACCAAATTCAAATTGGCTAAGCTGGCATAGTCTTGCCAAGCATAATCTTACCTACAGAGACATTCTCATTGAGCTACCCGTTTCCGTCCACAACTCCCACCTCCTCACCACTTTCCTCCACCAGCTCGATACCCCGCCCATCCCCAACCCATTTAACCCCTTTTCACAACCGAGCTCGACTCCTCTCTTTCCCAACTTTGACAGCCTCGATCTCTCCATCGACCCGTTCCTAGAAAAGAACTGTGATCTTCTTCTCGATTCTATCGAGACACACTACACAGAACTCAACAATAGCCAATATTACCAGCGACAGCTCGCCCGTGAGCAAACTAAGATCGCAGCGTGGCTCACTAAACGGAAACAGGAGAATATCCTTCGCGCAGCGGCCAAGCAACCTCTACTCCCGGAGAACGAGTGGACCAGACTTTTCAAGCCACCCGTCGAACCTAGCCGGCTCGAGACTCTCCTTAACTCCAGGCAGATCGAGCAGTACGCAAAACAAGTTGACGGGTTCACAGCTAGCGTCACGGCTAAGATGTTTGCTGTGAATGGGGGATTATCAAAAACACAGGAGCAGTTGCAGTTGTAGGCTTAACACTGACTTTCTCTTTCTCTCTCTCTTCTTTCTTCTTTCTTCTTTTTTAGGTTAATACGTTGTTGTGGACTGTGGTGCAGAAACGCATGATACAATTTGTTCCCCTTTTCCTCTCACCTCTAATAGCTTATACTAGGGTACTTAACTAGGTGACCTGTGAGTTTAAGCTAAGATATCCCATGTTGCAATGGGGCTGGGAAATGGGATAGAAAGCGAAATGTTCAGATTTGCGAGTGATATTTGGTGCTGGTAGATGGGTTATGGGAGACTTGGTCTATGCTGTAGATAGTTGTTTTTACCTCTTTCGAAAAACTTGGCCAGCCTTAAGAATTGACAAAAACAAAAAAGAATTGACTACAGCAAAGTTGTGTTGGTAAACTAATGTTTACAACACGACTGCTAGCCACTTCTTGTGTGAAACTACTCGTACTCCGTACACAATGTTTTCACCTTTGACAACCTATTCGTTCACTCTACGCCCTTAGCACAAGCACCAGTGTGTCCATCATTTCCCCACTATTTTTTCCCCCCCTGTCTCACTTATCGCCGCCGGGACAGTTCTTGGCAAGCCAAGCCCATTTAAGTCTCGACCTAGCATTTTTTTCCCTCCCACATATCATACGTCAAATTCCTTCCCACCCCCACCGTCCCACATCACGGAAACAATTGCACGAAACCATTAGCAAATGGAAACACAACCACCACCACCAGCGGCTCCTCCGCCTCCTCCACCGCAAGGAAACCCGGCCTTCCGGGCAATGGGTAAGCAATCTTCCTTCCATAGCTCACTTTTGCAGAGCGTTTGCTAACAACCAACACAAAAAGGCCTCCCAAACATCCGCGCCAAATTCCCCTCTAGAAACTGGTCCATCTTTATCTCACTGTCGACAGCTTTCGCAGCAGCAGTCTACTACGACCGCCGTGAGACCAAGAGAGTTCAGAAGCACTGGTGCTCTGTTGTCGAACACCTTGCGCGGGAACCGTTGTCAACGCTGGAGCTGCCGAGGAAGGTTACAGTTTACCTGAGCGCCCCACCCGGGGACACTATCACACCTTCTAGAGAATACTTTCGGGAGTATGTCAAGCCGGTGTTCACGGCTGCTGCGCTGGAATTTGACGTTGTTGAGGGGAAGAAGAGGGGGGAGGTTCGGTGGAAGGTGGCGGAGGGGGTTAGGAAGGTTAGGAGAAGGGGTGGGGAAGGGGGCCGGCAGGGGGAAGAAGGGGAAGAGGAGGATGGGATCGAAGGGATTAGAAGGAGGAATGGTGTTGTTCGGGTTGGAGTTCAAGGTGATGTGGTCGTTGGACGACACGCTTGGAAGGAGTATATTCGGGGATTGCACGAGGGGTGGTTAGGTCCTCTTCAGGATCCCAATGCAACTCCACCTCCACAAGAGTTCAAACCACCCCCCACCTCAAAACTAGACCGAGCCCTCGCCGAAACCCCCGACCCAGACAAAAAAGCTCGGGAGGAAGAAAACAAGAAAAAAGCCTCAATCCCATCCCCACACATTCTCCCACATGCCTACAATACCTCTCCCACCCCCAGCTCCCTCCCAGAAACCTTCGACCCCGTCGGCTTCATCCCCCACGCACACATACTCGGCTTCCTGAACACACCGATACGTCTCTACCGCTTCCTCAATCACCGCAAAACGGCAGACCTCGCCGGTCGCGAAGCTGCCGCCATTGCACTCGGCATATATTCCCGCCCCTTTAACCTCGCACTAGAGCCTAGCTCTACCATGATGACGAATGAGGACGTTAAAGGAGGGCTCGGAGCGGGTCGGGAGGGTGGGGAGATTGGTCGTGCTTGCGGACGGGAAGAGGAGGCAGAGTGGCCAAAGAGGGTTTGGAAGGAAGAAGGGACTGGGACGGGAGAGATCACTGAGGAGGTGGTAGTTGATCACAGAATTGGCGGGAGGATGAGGAGGTTTGTGCTGCCCGAGGGGGCGGAGGCGGTGGTTGATGCTGAGAAGGGGAAAATTTAGCGCGATCATTAAAGAGAGAGGGGGGGGTGTATGATAATGACGATAGTGGGATAGAGGTATTGTTTTGTTTTTTTATTATCGCCACTTTTCAAAGTACTTTAATTGCATCGGATCACGCGTGGGATTACAATAGCCGTACAATATTTTGTCCCGATCAGGGCGGAATATGATGCCTGATATTACCATATTATAGTAAAATCAATGAGACAAAAACTACAACTCAAAGTGAAGTGTTGAAGTAAGGTGAATTGGTGATACTTTTTATACATAAAAAAAACCAAAAGGAAAAAAAGGGGGGAGGCATCTGTTATTACAGGATGAATGAATTATAAACAACAACTAAATGAGAAATAGGAAGATGAAGAGAGAGAACAGAAGGATATGTGAAAAGTAGTCCAAATACACTACATCCATTACTCGCTGCTTATGCGTCCGGCATAGGAACATCCAAGCTCAACTCTGCCGCCTCTTCTTCGCCCAACTCTTGGGCGAGAACCCTATCAAGAAGCATCTCCTTCTTAATCCACCCTTCCCTCCTCTTCTTCTCCAGCTCCTCGAGTTTCCGCTTCAGTTCCTCCTGCTCTTGCTCTGACCATGCCAGTTTCTTCTTAAGCAACCTCATGAGCTCCCTGGGAGGCATGGCTTCCTCATCCGGATCGAAACCGTCCTCGGATGTGTACCACTTGGACGCACCATTCTTGCTCGCGTTCTTGGTGGAGCTGGTGGGTGAGGAGGGTGAGGATGCGGTGGAGTGCGAGGTAGCAGCGGTGTTTGGCTGGTGGATGTTTTGTGGGTGGTTGGGGTGGGATTTTGGAATGGGGTCAGAGGGCCGGAGGGCTTCTGTTTCGTGGACTGTGCGCATGTGCTTAGCGAGGGCATCTGAGCGGGTGAAGGATCGGTCGCATTCTGTTGTTCAAGCATTAGCGCCGTCGCCAGAGACGAGGTAGTGGTGAGAGGAAGGAAGAAATAAAGTACCAGGAAGAGTGCAATAAAATGGCTTCTCCTTCGTATGACTTCTCATATGGGCTCTGAGCGCATAACCACTCGCGTGCGCCATTCCTTTTCTGTTGCAGTCATCCCACTCACACGCATACTTTGCCCGTCTAAGGCCGATGTGCTCGTCGTGAATGTGCTTCACCAAGTCGTCCATGTTGCCCATATCCATGTCGCAGCTGTCCCACTTACACATTGTGACCTGCTCCGCGTGCTCGATTTCTTCCGCTTCCATGGGCGACCCGGGAACGGATCCAGAGGTGTCGGAGGAGATGTCGCTAAAGTTCGGGTGGCTGTGGTGGTGCGTGAGGGTCGGGGAGGTCTCGGGCTGATCAGAGAATGCGGCCGAAGCCGCACGCTTCACGGGCGTTCGAGGAAGCGTGGGGGGCGGAGAGTCCATCGATGAGAAGGAGGAAAGGGAAGATGGTGGTGAGGACATGGCGATGATTTTGTGTTTGTTTGGGAAAATACAATGGTTGGAGGAAGGTTTGTTCGATACCAGGAGGGTGTCTAACTGATTGATCGAGGCTGCGTGACGCCTTTTTCCTCCTACCCTCTCCTATCAGGATATGGACTTTGGACGCTTGAGATGTGTTGAATTTGTGGCAGTTGGCTTCGGTGGTGTGTAGGGAAGGGTGTTGGCACAACGTTGGTAAGGTGGCAATGTTTGTGAGGGTTGTGGGGTACCGTATGGTATGGGTATTGTTTGGTTCCGTGACGGGTGCTAACCTTCCGTCAGATTAAGCTTTTAGGCGAGTCTTGGCTGTGAGGTTGATTTTCGGGATTCATGGTTGTGGTGGTGGCTAGGGTGAGGTGGCTTTGATTCATTCGGTGAGGACCAATTCTCGGAAGCCATGCATAGTGATATGATAGTCCTTGGGGTTGGTCGGGGAGTCACTCGTCCCTCTGTATCATGGCACCTCTCCACCAGCAATGTTCCACACATATATGCGTGATATCACGGAATGTAACACGCAGTGAAAACCTCACGCCTTCCAGAAACAAGATACGGCTGAGTCCGCTTGCCATCGTCAAAAGACTCAAACGCGATTATGCACGCATCGCAGCGTGCATTACCACCAGCATGGTAGGAAAATTATGCGTGATGTGTTCGTGACTTTTCCATCGGTGTGAATTTCCAACGTCCTTAACCTGATTGGATGGGATCACTCTCAAGGGTCCTCCTTTCTCACTTGGATCTCTACCTTTCGGAAGGGCTAAGATAAGCGTGACAGACATGTGGTCGGCTGCTGCAAGCGCCAATTCTTTGCGTGAGGCTCCCACCTTCAACTGGTTCCGGAAGCCGAACGCAGGAACACCAGGACAAAAGACCGCTTAACTATTATTGCTCATTCCTAGAATGGGGAAACACTTCAATCGTTATGCTATCCGTGAGGCTTTCCTTCTATTTATCGGAAAGAGTTATTGTCATATCCGGGCGTGACTCTTATGCGGGCAAAGTTTATTTCGACCGCCTGAGTTGCGCGTGTCTGGCAGACTAAGGTGGAGGGCGGAATACAATAGTCTAGATCGCTTGCCCCATCACAAAAGGCATCTTATCGAGCTCCTCCTCCCCGCCCAAATTCCATCATATTTTCCGCAGAGCCCTTGCGACTCCTGCTAAAACTCGCACCTCCTGGGTCTACAAATACTGGAACGCTCACTCTCCATAACCTTACCACCTTCTCTCCAGTGGCAAACCATCATTCGCTACGAAAACAAGATTTGTCATGTCGTCAAAGGAAAAGCCGGGGTCGCCAGCACCTTCGTCGTCTCAAGAGCCAAAGGATGAGGATGAGGAGGAGATGGACTTAATAAATGCCTTCATGTCTGGAGAGAAGACCTTCTATTCGCCCCTGCCACCGGTAAAGCCCACGCCTCCGAAACCATCTGGTAGCAGGAAGCGTGAGTGGTTCTCTTCCATCCTTTGTGTTGGTGAGGTGCTCACTTTCGAACAGGTGTCGCGTTCGCCGAGCCCAGAGAAGAACCATCAAAGGCTCCTAAGATTGGTATGTTCTTGCCGCTCTTGCCTTCCTACTTCACTTGAGGTCATACCTGTTGTTTGCGAAGAGCTGACCGCTCCTGCAAACGCCCATACTCTATCCTGTTCCGCGAAACATTGCTCCTCACTCTGGGCGCGTATGATGATGTGGCGATCAATGACCACACTGCAGATTTTTACGTTCGGAGGCATCGATGGTAACTTTTCTCCTTTAGAACACAGACAGATTTCTATGCCCGCCGAACTGATGGTTCCGAACTCCCGTCGTACTCCTTGGAAGGCGTTAGTTCCCCCACGCTTCATTGTTCCCCGATAGGAAATTGTCCGTCAATTTCCTTGTCGGTTTGTCACTTGACTATATACGCTGACCATGATTTTTCTTCTTTCCCTATAGTCCTAAACATCGTGGGTTATATCCTTGATCTCAATATTCCGCTCTAAGACAATGAAGGGACGCTAACTCCGAGTCCTTCGCAATAGCAGATAGTTTGCCTTGTACCTTGAAAAGGCAGAATCCCAATTACTGGTGGTCAGCAGTCACACCAGAACATCGAATTCCGCCTGTTCTTAACGAGAATGAGTTAACTCTCCCGCTCCATGCCCACATCTTCAATATCTAAATTTTCTCTAGGAGCGGAAGCAATTCTCGGCTGGGAAATTCTTCTCAAGGACGCCTCGGCTCCTGAATTCATGTTTCAATAACTTATATCAAAAGCATTTCTCGGGCCAACTTGGATTATTACGGTGATAGTACATACTTTTTTTCTCTTTCTTTTTTGGGGCAACTAGGGAGCTGGGTGGCATGGGTTGTGCGTTTGGGTCTTATTTTTCCACAAAACTATTCCTGGGGTTTCACTATATTTTCGCATTTCCTTTTCTACAATGCCTTTTTTCTTTATATTTTATGTCCTACAATCTGTTTCCCTTGCGCTGCGTTGGCAGCGGGAAATATTTTCCGATTTCTTGCATTTTACCTACGACCCTTTATCCACTGGTTTATCGAATTTTCCATCTGTGCCCGACGTTATGATCTCAACAGCCCGACCACCACCCCCGAACTCTCTACATTTATCAAATCATCTCTCTCCTAAATTCCTACCCCCATCCCTCCGGATTTCAATTTAAGGAGTCAGTTCACGGTCCTCTGAGCGGTGGACTATGCTCAAAACGTCACCTCCCACTATTTCTTTCCTAGGATACAGGTAAATTAACTCACCCTTCCATCTATTGATCTGCTCCGAGCCCGAATTGTGTGACGCGGAGACTAACATCTCATAAGTTTACGAAACCATAACGTTCGGCCGGCTGGTGGGGAATCCTCAAATTTCTGGGTTCTTGGGAGACTGGTTCGTGTAAGGAACCGCTTAACATCGCCCGCTGATATACTAGCTTTGGTATTAACTCATGACATAGATAAGACCTACGCCTGACCAGCTCCCAGATTTGTGGGAAGTATGAATATCGGTTCCTGTCCCAGAGTATATAGGATTAGCCAGAAGGGAGCAAACAAGTTCGAGAAACTCGAGAAATCCAAGCGGGTCGTTGGATTTAACGAAGTTGGAAAATAACCAAATCGGAAAGAAGATCCCACCATGGTATCGAAACCCCGCACAGTCTTGGATAGTACCCATTCCCGTAACTGTCCTCGGACACCACGGGTAGAGAGAGGAAATGGCAAGTCTGGCCCCCCGCACTCCAGAGATTCGGTTCAACTGTCCTTTCTACATTTGGATGCGCAAGTACTGTCCATTTTACGGTACTATCAATGGAAGGGAACACGACTAGTTATTTAGGGCTTGATTGCAGCTTCAAGAAATCATCGAACCATCGCAACTCAGCATCTCGAGGCCGTCGTAGTCACGGTGTTTATTGGGGCAACAAACCGCCCGCTATTGTCGACGTTACCAGAGCTCATCTCCGCGATTCGACTCCCACCACCTATATCTGTAAGTACCCAGATGAAGTTATTCTTAGTAATTGTTATTGAAGTGGCGTCAGGAGTTCAGGTTGTTACATCGCTCTTTATGCAAACGAGATACATTGGCAATGGTTTCCGTTCATACTTTTTACTATGATACCTACTCGCTCATGCCATACCATATCATATTTCTTTTTTGTCTACGAAGGACTGTATATAGACAGGATTGAAAGACGAATAGAGGACATCCAAAGTATCTTTCCAACTACAGCGCGTATTTGTAGCGGCGCACTTTATGAGTCGATGTGTGTGTTACAAGTGGAACCCACCCATCCAGGGACTGTGCCTGAAAGCGGACGGAGAGTGAAAGGCGGAATATGTTTGCCCGCGTGGTCTCTATGAGGAAGGTCTGTCCAATAACGCCTAAATCTATGATACAATAAAATTCCCAGACAATATCTCGCAACCCGCCCACATCACCACCACCACCACAAGCCCCTTCACGATAATACCCCTCCCCCCGGCGCGCGCGAGAAGGCAGCAAACATCCCCTCCGGCAACAACCGGCTGGACGAGTGATCCCCTGTGAGTGTCACCATCTTGGTTAGGGGTAAACTAAATTTATGATATCATACTGGTTAACTTTCCACACAAACGGGAGTATTTTCACTTGTACCAAGTGGTAGCGCGGAGCTTTAGCGAGTGAGTGAGTGAGTGAGTGATGATGAGTCGTCGTTAAGGGGAACGTGGAATGGGAAGTTGGGGCTGTGCTGGTTTCGGGTGACTGTGACTTGACTGACTGATGGATTCATCGTGACTTTTGCCCCAAATTAAACTGGGTACGTACGTATTGAAAAACAAAAAATCTGCGGAATGGTATATCTGCTTCACAGGATGAGAACCTTCTGACCACCAACTATTACTGATGAAACCTTTGAACAGTAAGAAAATGCCTTACAATTGCAATCACCTTCAATCTCCAAGCTAGCTATCAACCTCTTCGTACAAGACAAACCTCAAGAAAAGAAAACCCCGGAGAAAAAAAATCCAACCTATCCTGGTTGTCCGACTATCTAGCTACAGGACACAAATTCAAAACAGTTTCCCCACTTTCCGTATTCCTCCGTTGAAAATGCGGTGGTGGTGGTGGCGGTGGTGGCAAAAAGGAAACCACGGCTATATAGACTAAACTTCCACCCCCCCGTCCGCCAAGCCCAGCAAACCCTCTCCTATTGAGAACACGACCTATTCAGCTCCCAGTAAACACAAACAATGTATGATTCCCCCTTCTGAGTAAAGAGCTAACTAAAATTATTATGATGCTAAGCTAAAGGTTTGCGAAACTAGCTAAAAATATGGTAAGAAAGCAAAAACAAATTTCATCCGTAACAGTATGTACAGTACTGTACTTGTATGTTATGATAATAATATTATGAAAGTGGATTGTCCACTGCACTTGTACTCATACCGGCTTCTTTCCGTGTGATCTCGTGATCCGTAAAGTTTTGTGTATCGTATCGTACTTCAGCCTCGTACCGTACCGGTATTTGATCGACGGTAGTGGTTGGTGGTGACGGGTTATGAAGTTGATGGCTTTCCCTGTCCACTGTTGATGTGTCCATTCGACCGTGGCTTGGTTCTCGGGTTTCGCCTTTGGTAGTGGTGGATTGTAGGGCAATGGTATTTGTATTACTTGTATATATGCCGTCGGTATCGGGTCATGTTCTACAGGTGCTGGTGGTATTGGAATATGCAGGGGAGTGTAAATGTCCTAAAAATTACCCCATTCATTGGCCTGGCCGCAGGGGCAATTGGAGAGTGTTTGGATTCGCTTTTTGCTCCAAAGCGGTGCTACTCGTACAGTCTCTGGCTAACTTGTTAAATTTTCAAGTACTGTACTTGTATTATATAAGGATGGTGTAGTTTTTCCTTTCCAGGTAAAAAAAAAAAAATTATCCTGTGAGTCTTAACTAGAGGTAGGTGAAGCCAATAGAAACAATTATATATCCGTCACGTGAAGCCTGGTAAGGAGAATTTGGTGAACATTTCTTGTTGCAATTGTACCCGGATAAGGAATGGAAAAACGTGACGGATAGATAGATCTCTCGGCCTCCCTTTGTACGAGTATCATACCCGAGTAGAAGGAATTATTGAGCTGGCATATCCCTGTTTGTCAATACAATGCTGGTTGGAGCACTTTCCTTCCCCCCTACCCCGCTGCGCTTGTGCTCGAATAGTTATTGAACATGTACCATCCAACCAACCACAACCTTCATCCGAAAGCAACCGTCGAACGATATTAATAACCCACCAATAAATAAACACCCTCAGCCGCACCACCCAAACCCATCAGCGTGTTCGCTTCTATTCTATTCCGTTCTTCCTCTTGAGGGGGGAAAAAGCGCAATTCACCTTTCCTCTCTCTCTCTCCTTGCGCTAAAGAGTCATCATATCAAAAGAGCGTTTCTCTTTTTGTTTTTGCAACCACGATAAGATAATCGAGTTACAAAGCATCATGGAGACTGGCGAAAAGTCCCCCCTGCTCCCGAATACACGGCGAGTGCAGGAAAGGGAAAATATCTATATGCCTCATCACCGACGCCCTCCCCCTCGTGAGCGGGGGTGTTTCAGCACCTGGGTTGGAAAGGCCGTCTTTGCATTTTTCTGCTTTGTGGTCGCTCTCTGTTTTTATTTTCCCTGGGGAAAATTGCATAGTACTCCTCTCCCTCCTCCCTCTTTACACACCTTTTGCTCCAGCTCGTGAAATAACTGATGACTGACTTACTGACTGACTGACGATAGGAGTACCACCAATTCTATACACGCACAAGATCGGTGTGATAGGTGCTGGGCCGGCGGGCTTATCGGCAGCGTACTATGTCTACCGGTATGCCCAGGAACGCGGTATCCCCGTTGAGGTAAAGATATATGAGAAGGCCCGAGTGGGCGGACGAGCGGCGGGGGTCGTCGAGATCGGCGGGGTAGCGTATGACATTGAAGATGTGGGCTTCCATACTGTTGACCGGACGATGGTGGATCTTATGCAGGAGTTGGGGGGATGCGATCTGGGGATCTGGCATGTGGAGACCGGATTGGGATTGAACCATGGGAGGTTTAAAGTGTATTCTCACCATATATCTCCCCCACTCTACTATGACGGTAGTGCTGATCAAGGAGAACAGCTACGACGGCGAATCCACAGTCTATGCGCAGACACCACCCGGGAGCTCCTTGGCGTCCTGGTGGCACTCCTTCAAGCTCTATCTAAGATACGGTCGTTCCCCGCGCACTCTCAGCGATCTCTACACAAGTGCCGTCAAGGCCTTCTCAAAGACATACACCGAAGGCCCCATCATCGCCACGGATTTCAACCCCATCCAGGACCTCATCCAGCGGCTCAACCTGGAAATGGAAACGACAACCCCAGCGTCGGTATACTTGCACCAGAAGCATGTATCGGAATCCTTCTCCCGCGACCTCGTGAATGCCTGGTCTCGCGCCGCCACGGGACAGAACCTGGGCAGTGTGAACGCATTCACCGCGCTGCGGAGCTCATACACGGGCACCATCGAAACGCCTGTCGGCGAAGGGACCGGAGCGCTCTTCAATTGCCTACTAGGAGCCTCCAGGGCGGAACACATCCCTCAGGAAGTTACCCGTGTGCGTAGGAACGCGCTAAGCCTGGAAGGGGAGTGGAAAATTACTTCCACCCCGCAAATCCCCCTCAAGTCCGAGGCCGAGGTCGAGGACGATGTGAAGTTGGGCACTGGCTTTGACCACGTAATCCTCGCTGCACCATTCTATTTTTCGCATGTACACTTCGATGAGGAGCAGCTCGACGCTGTCCCGCACGTAATGAATTACACGACGCTGCACGCCACATTCTTTACCATCAACTCGAAGGAAAAGGTAGGTGGCTCTTGTGACAACATTTTGACAACACTCCAGCCAGGACACTTTGAAAGGGGCCAGCTCAGGCCCAGCCCCGAGGACGGCGGAAGTGCAGGCGTCTACTCTATACGCTTATGGCGTATGATAGAGTTAGATGGTGCATTAGTAGACGTGTACAAAGCCCTCTCGCCAGCACAAATAGACAAGGACGGCATAATGCACGTGTTGAACGCCGTGGGCTGTAAACACCCTGTTGAAATCCTGGCGCAAGTCGAGGTTTGCCCCATTACTGTCTAGAAGGGAGGAAGGAAGGAATCGAACTAATAGATAAGATTTTTGAGAAAGATCAAAAATGCCTACCCAATCCACCACCCCCGGACCGCATTCTCCCACATCAAGCTCAGTAAAGGCCTCTGGTACACAGGTGGTGGTGAGGAAGTAGGTAGTACCTTGGAATTAAGCGTGCTAATGGGAAAGATGGTGGCTGGAGGGCTTGTGCGGGGGCTCAAGAACCATGAACTCCCACCCAAAGCGCGACAAGAGGAGGGAGTAGAAGAGCTGGTAATGGAGGGGGACTGGGATAGGGACGACGACGATGAAGGGAAACGTCCCGGAAGGCCAGAGAGACCAGAGAGACCGGGGAGACCGGAGAGACCAGGGAGACCAGGGAGGCCGGGGAGACCAGAACGCCCGCAGAGGCCGGAGAGACCCGAATTCCTGTCCGGTGATGACTTGTTGGAGCGCCCTGAAAACCCAAAGACATTGGGGGGCGGGGTAGGGGAGGTGGAGGAGGGGGGTGGCGGAGACGGTGCTCCTCCCAAGAAACCGGGACACCCTGATTGGCCCGAAAGACCCGGGCGGCCGGAACGTCCTGGGCGCCCCGAGAGGCCGGAGAGGCCGGGCAGACCTGGGGATGATCCAAAGCGTCTCAGTGACGGGGGAAGAGCGAGGAGGTTTTGAGAATGATATTATGATTTGTTTGTTGGGTTGACGAATTTTTTTTATTTTAATTTTTTCTTCCAAAACAGTGTCATGATTTCCTATGTTAAGGATTCAAAATTGCTAGGTTATTGAGGTTATTGGCTGTTGGCTTATGGGTTTTGGGAATGGTTGAGGATTTTAGGCTTGGTTTGGCTAATTTTATTGGTTTTACTCTGCACCAAGTTCATGGTAGTGTTATTGCTAGCACGTGCGCGTAATAATTTAGCCCTTCAAGTATTAGTGCTCCTCAGTGCCTTTTACGCCCTGTCCTTCTCGGAGCAAGCAACATGGCACAAGAGAACGGGGTCCAAGATTCTTGACTGGCCTAGATCGGTTTGGCGGGTGCGAATGATCATCCCTGGCCATCTCGGATTCACGTGAGGTCACTCGGTAAAAAAATTGACTTCCACTTAAAACCCCGGATCACCGCTCAATGACCTCAATTTCTCCCAGCCCAAGCGCACCAACGGGTATATTTCCAAGGAAATAAAGAAAACAAAAAGGAAAACCTCACTTTTCTCCCGTCACGCGGGTCACAGTTGCAGTAGTTACAGCAGTTGTGGCGCTGGCAGTGGGTATCTCAACCGCTGGTGGTGCTGCTGCTCCCGTGGGAGCACCAGCATCCTCCTTCTCCCTCTCCTTCCCTTTTAATGCTGATAATAGCTTTCCACTTGTTGTTCCCGGGTCCTCCGGCACAGCATCAAACCTGGCCTTATACACCTCCCGTCCGGTTATCCCCGGCAATGGGACATAGAAAACGTCTCCGGCATGCGCGCTAGTTTTCGCGACGTCAGGATCCAAGTGGACCAATTTCCCCGTGGTAATAACCATACCCTCTCCCACAAACGCCGGGCAAGCAACCTGCTTGCTGGTGGGGACCTCGATAATTCCCTTAACGTCCTTCGTCCTTGGATCGATGCGCAACACCTTGTGGCCGTCTCGCATGGCCACCCAGACATCGCCGTCCGAAGATATGGCAAGGCCATCTGGGACTCCGGGTCCATGCTTGTCTTCGTCAAATTTGATGAACTCTTGCTCGTGCGAGATACCGCCGGTCTCGGGCTCAAAGCGATATGCGAATATTGTCTTGAGTCGGGTCTCAACGAGGTAGAGAGTGCTGTTGTCCGGCGAGAAGCCGATGCCGTTTGGAATGGCAACGGGGTATTTCACATGATTGAGATGAGTGGTAGGATCACTGCGGAAGAGTGTGCCCTCGTTCTGCGGGGGGCCCAAGCCAAAGCTATTTGCATCTTTTAGCTGATACATATGTCGGAGGAGGCAGGAAACCAAAACAGACGCTATCATACCTTCTCATCGACCCGGCCCAAAACCTTCCCCGCACGTCAACTGCCCCGTCATTGATACGCATAAGATCCTGCTTATCCTTATCACCCGGAAACAGGGTATTGATGTACTCCAATTTTCCCGTCTCGATATTGACCTTTCCAAAGCCGCGTTTTGCTCCAACCGCCAGATGCTCTTTATCCTATCCCCCCGCAAATACCGGCCATAATTCCCTCGTGTCAGTCAATCAATCAGTCAGTCCATTCTGCTCCCCTCCCCTCTTCTCTCCCAAGCAAGCTTCTCGCGGCATAAAGCAGAAAAAACGTACTCCATCAATTAACGCAAGACACCCCACAAGATCTCCAACTTCGATCCGTCTAAGGCTCTTCTGGCCCTCCTTCACATTGAACCCGTAGATCACCGAACGGGGTATGTCAGTGAACCAGGTGGTTCCCGTATCCTCATCGTGTACCGGCGATTCAGGCAACCAAAAGTCCTCGCGATGGAGAATTGGATCACCGGTCTTTGCGATCACTTTGAAATCTGCTGGCATGTTTTTTTGGTGAGTGGGGGGATGTGAATTTGCCAGAGGACGAGTAGAAGAGTGGGGGGGGGACGCCGTTAGACGTTTATATTCGCAACCTTGATGGTCGGTGATACGCCGAGGGGTATAGAAGCGGGAGGGAGGGGGGGTCGTGGACAAAAGATTTAGCCTAAACAACCCAGAAAGTCAGGAATCCCCGCTTGCGACAAAGCTTGTGGGGGGAGGGTTTTTGTTCGTTTCCCTGATTCGTGGACACTTCATGGTTCTTGGAAGGGTGGTTTGCCGCTACTGGGTTCGTCACATGCTATCGATTGCGATGACGCTCCCTTTGGAAACGACTTCACAGGAGGTCACTCGACAAATTGGTGCTCCCTGAAGCCCTTATGGGTGACAATCCATTTTTATTAATCCATTTTTATTGATATTATTTTCATTCTTCGTGGGGGTGACGGTCTGCCTTCAACCGCTCGGATCCCGAGTCGACACGAGAGAAAAAAACGTGCAGAAGAACTTTGGATAGACGAACAAAGTTCAGCGGGTGCGGGCAATGGCATTTGAATTACAGGTATCGGCTCAGCTCGTCTGAGGGATGTGCCAGAGCAAAGCATCGTGTCGAGTCGGGGAAGTGGATCAGATAGATAGATAGGTGTCCCCTTCCTGTAGGTAGGTAGTATGGGAAAGGGAGAAATTGAGTGGGAGGCAAACGTCTTTTTGTAATTGGTTGAGTAACTGCAGAAGTAATTAACATGTACACGCAATTCATGCTCCTCTACACCCTTTACTCCAACGACATGGGAGTGGACAGCGAGTTGAAATCCAATCACGTTGACGGTGAATGAGAAATAGGTCTAGAATGTACGAGGTGCTATCATATTTCACGACAAAGAAGAAACAAAAGAACAAAATCAATTTGCGCCATTTCTCCGCCCATCCCTTTCTCAAGATCCGACAGTTGACCAGCAAAATTCCGACTAAACATGCGTGAGAACAATAAATACTCAAGTGTAATGAACCCGTAAGATTGTACACTCCTCCACATTGAATGCACAAGAAACAGACAATGATAGCGTTCCCGTCACATTCTTCTACTCACCCTAGCCCTTCCCGCAGCTGGTACCTCCCTTCCATCGGTATCTCTGAGCTCAACACTCTCCCGGCCCTTCATCCTTTTGATTCGCTCCCTTTTCCTCAGCTGCCGTTCAGCTTCGCCATCATCGCTTGCGCAATCCCCTTCGTTGCTCGACTCCCACGCTTCGTCACCAGACCGCCGTCTTGATGCCGAGCTAGCACCCCCGGCATTCCTTGTGAGTCGCGCATTTTCATCATGGTCGGTCCAGTCATCGGCAACTTCGCACTCGGGTGGCTCGATCCATCCGGCAGGCACCACACATGGTAGTGCGACACCGATGCTAGCCGCACGGTTCAGAAAGGCCGGAGCCGCTCGCCCAGTTAAAGCGACGCAGAGATGGGAGGTGAAGTGGTTGCAGTTCCGGGTAAGCAGATTGTAAGTAGGGCCTAAAAACTCGCTGGAGGCCTTTGTGCGGTGAGTAGAGTGGCTTGACAAATGGTGGGACAGCGGGAGGCAAAACTCACTTCTCGAATTATTTGCTCAATCTCCTGGTCGCTAGCATAGGTAAAGCCGTGTAAGATTTCCGATCTGAAAGTTCCTCCTGGGGGCTCCGTTTTTGGTTTCGTCCAGTAAACACCAGTAAAACCTCGGCGGTCATGACCGCCGAACGCATACTCCCGATCGTTGATGACAACACCAGAGTGGAGGAGGGCGACGCCGAGTGTCCAAACTATACTGGATAAACGCCCGGGTGGGAGAAGATCGTAGACGTTGATTATTACTTTCTTCTTTTGGAGACTCTGCGAGCGTGCAGAGCTCTGTGAGCTTCGAGACAGTGAAGGCATCTCTGGTGCCAAATTTCGACTGGCCGCTGCTGCTTAACCTAAAGGTGTTTGTCTGGTTGGATCCAAGGTTGACGTGGTGCAAGGGCCTGGGTGCGGGGGGGTGGGGGGGATTAAGGAAGACTACTGGTAGAGGACATGTGTCGAGGAGGGAGAGAAAGGGTGCTTTGAGGGTCTTGTATTATGGGTTCGCCGAAAGGGGGAAGATGTAGCACGGGATCTCAATGAATGTTAAACCGCAGCGTGGATGTGGATGTCTGCTATGATACATAGAACGCCTGAAAGCGAAAGAGCTTCGGCAGAGAACAAGCCCGGAACCTCAAGGGCATACCGGTACGATGCTACGTCCCCATCACTCACTCGAGCCCAAGTTATCGATACTACATTGCTGTAAATCGCCCAATCACCGGTGGAATAAGCTTACCGCCAAGACATATATTTGTTAATTTCCTATTCTGTGACTCCCAAACATTGGCGCCTGACTGAATGGGCACACAAAACGCATACGAGGGTTTCGACCCCACCAAAACTTTGCTTCTTCCCCCCATTTGCAATTGTCTGTGTTCCCACCTGCAACAATTCAGAGATTTTTGCATACGGTACTGGGTACTCGAGTACTCGAGCACTGTACGGTACCTCAGCAGCCAGACAGACGCAACGAGAAGAGAAGAGCCGCCTCACCTCTTTTCCTTGTGCCTCCCTGCTGTTGAACCCCTCATCCACAACGTCTCTCCTCCCTCTTGTCAGACGCAGCCCCACAACAATCACTGGTTACTGTCTACTGAATCACCATTCCTTTCCTTCAGCTTCTCTTTTGAAATCGCATCTATTTGTTGCTATCACTACAACAGTCTCCACCCGTTCTTACGCCAAAAAGGCTAGAAAAATGCCCCCAAAGAGAGCTGTCAAGGAAGAGAAGATACTTCTTGGGAGGCCTGGAAACAATCTCAAGAGCGGAATTGTGAGAGCACTTCTCCTCGATGGTTAACGCTACCTGTATTCGAAGCTGATAAATTTCTTTCTCGTGACTGCAGGTCGGGCTTGCCAATGTTGGGAAATCAACGCTTTTCCAGGCTATTACCAGATGCTCGTTAGGAAATCCCGCCGTACGTGGTATCCTCTTTTCCCTTCCCCCTTGCCATTTCCGCCGGATGCTTGGCAGTCGAGTATTTAAGCTAATCTAACCTCCCTCCACCCCGTCTACAGAATTTTCCTTTTGCTACGATTGATCCTGAAGAAGCCCGTGTTATTGTTCCCGACGAGCGCTATGATTGGCTGTGTGAACATTACAAGGTACCCTACCTACCCTGGCCCTAATATTGTCCGGTTTTGAAAAGTGTCCTCGCTGAGATTATGGACTAAAGCCCATCTCTAAAGTCCCCGCCAATCTCACAGTTTACGATATCGCCGGTCTGACACGCGGGGCTTCCACTGGCGCTGGGCTTGGCAATGCGTTCCTTTCGCATATCCGTGCTGTTGATGCCATCTTCCAGGTTGTCCGTTGTTTCGATGATGCCGAGATTATCCATGTCGAAGGAGACGTTGATCCCGTCCGTGATCTTCAAATTATCAACGACGAGCTTAGAATAAAGGATATTGAGTTTGTTGAGAAAAATTTGGAGATTCTGAAGAAGCAGACTGCAAGAGGAGGTCAGAGTCTAGAGATGAGGAAGCTGAAGGAGGAACAGGCCATTGTTGAGAGCATCCTAAGCTGGTTGGTAGATGAAAAGAAGCCTGTTATCAAGAAGTCTTGGGGAAACAAGGAGGTGAGATTATTCTAGGCTTTCATCATATCTTCTCGGACATACACTCCACTCCATTCCATCACATGATGACAAAGAGTATCATACTCGATCATTAAAACCCAGCTCGATGAACGGCCTCGTCAATTACAACGCTTAGAGGCTCGTATTGATATGGATTTTTAATCTGATATTAATTTTCTGCACATCTGCTTTTCAATCTAGAAAATTATCCCTCGAGCCAGCGCTAACTTTGGTAATATTTACTAGGTTGAAGTAATCAACAACCTTATGCTTCTTACAGCAAAGCCTGTCATCTTCCTCATTAACCTTTCGGAGAAGGACTACGTTCGACAAAAGAACAAGCATCTTCCCAAGATCAAGCAATGGATCGATGAGAACTCTCCTGGGGACCCAATCATCCCAATTTCAGTCTCCTTGGAGGAACGTCTCGCTGGTTTATCGGATGAGGAAGCTGCTGAGGAGTGCAAGAGATTGGGCACCAAGAGTGCCATTCCTAGGCTTGTAGTGCTCATGCGCAATGTCTTGAACCTTATTAGCTTCTTCACTACCGGACCCGATGAGGTTCGGCAATGGAGTATCCGAAAGGGCACCAAGGCGCCTCAGGCTTCTGGAGTCATCCATACAGGTTTGTTCTTGTATCCAATTACTGTTGCTAAGCGCCTTCTCTTACTTGCTGGGGATAGATTTCGAAAAGACTTTCATTCAGGCTGTCGTTTTCAGGTATTCCGACCTGAAGGAACTTGGCGATGAAGCGTCAGTCAAGTCTGGAGGAAAGCTGCTCACCAAAGGAAAGGAATACGTTATGGAAGATGGCGATATGTGCGTTTCCTCAATTACCTGGACTCGAATAACTCACAGTGCGCTAACATGATTTTATAGTGTCCTGTTCAAAGCGGGTGCTGCCAAGGGTTAAGTCATATCTTCATGTATTCGTTCTTGACAGGCGTCAGGTATGGGGTCATCCGCAGTCAAGCTATAGGGTGGGAGAGGGGAATAATAAAAACACACTCCTCAATGGCCTCCGTGCGCCTCTTGCAATAACGTGAGCTACAATATGAATTCTACGGTGCATTTATGCGAGGCTGCACGCCATGTTATCTGTGAGGTTTAAAGCTTTCTTTGACTCTGTGCTTCCCTCAAACCTCCTCTGTGCACAATGCCGTTGGAGGACAGTTCCCACGCAAACCAGTCTCCCGCGTATACCGTGAGAAATCTCAATTATATAAATCAACTCGTTTCCACACAAACTGCTCGCATCGCAAGCATACAACCGCAAATCACAAGCTGACCCATCGCAAGCACCATCTACCATATCGATTCCACAGAGCGCATCACATTACATCACACTCAACCCCATTCACGGATTCAACGATTAGTTCATTATAATTATTAACCCCCTTATTCCAACTTCTAACAATCCCCCCCCCCTTTTTTTGAAGTCATTAAATGCCATTCCAAACTCCAACCAACCAACAACAAAGTATGGATATATAGAATAATATTATTATATAAAAAATGTAGCAACCACCGGTAAAGGAACACATTTTTCCCACAGAGGCAGAAAAAAAGGGAAAGGCTCCAGCTGTGGTGCCATTATTACTCTCGAGCGAATAGCAGAGGAGAAAAGTAAAAGAAACAATTCCACGTAAAAAAATTATTTTTTTCGGAAAACTCCTACAATAACATCGCTCTTGAAATGAGTTTTGTAGTGTTTGGATGTTGTGGGGTGTGGGTTGGTGTTTATATACTGTCATGCTTGTTCTTGCCAAGACTTTTGGTTGACGGGGAGAAAAGCTGGCTTGGCACTTTGGTAGGGTAGGGTAACTGGTTTTTGTTATATAGGTAAAGCGTAAAGAACTTTTTTCCTCTTTCTTTTTTTTTTTCTTCAAGTAGAAAATTTTACAAGTCCCTCTGAAATATGCTAGAGCCTATTGTCTACGTCTGAGGGCATTTGGGTGTGGACAGCAGAGGGAGAGTGAGATCCTGGTACGGACCCCTAAATGTTACCGGCTTCCGCAGGTGTGGAGGTTGGATAGGTGCGGGTGGAGATATATCGTACTTTTTAAGTACTAAGCTTGCGTTCGATAGCGTGGGTGGGTGGTGTTTATAGGGTCTTGTTTGTGTCATTGATAATTCGTTACAAGTTATAATGAATTGGAGCGCCTTTGTTCTGGGATTGTGGCGGCCTTATGATACATTATTTCTATCCTGTGCTGTGCTGGTATCATGACCTTTTTATTTATTTTTTACGATAACAACCGCGCTGAATCTATGCCCTCTCAGCGACTTTAATCCTGCCCTCCCTGTTGTCGATATAAAAACCTATTTCTTTAATGTCGTCATCAAGCGGTATGAAATCACCACCCTCCTCTAGCGGGTGGTACTCCATCTGCACCTTCAACGGCGCGATGCCAAACATTCTGCCGATAAGGCCTTTGAGTGTGGATATCGACAGTGACTTTGGGATCTTCTTAACTAGTGGATCTTTCCCTTCTGATAGGAATTCTAGGTCTATGAGTTTTGTTGCTAGCGTCTTTTTTTCTTCGGTGCTTCTGTCTATGATAGGTTTACCGTGTACTGTTTCTTGTCAGCTCTGAGGGCAATTGAAAAGGAAGGGAGACCTACATTCGCATAATTCCTCCCAACGTTTATGATCCCGCAAAACAGTATCTTCCATTCCTTCCTCTACTTTCGCCATTTCCTTCGCTATCTGGTTGAGGTAGTAGAGTTCTGCATTAGCACGCTCGGATTCAGTTATCTTGCTGTAATTCAGCGTGATAACTCTCGCTGGCGTCCTAGCTACAGCAAGCATATGCGCTTCTTCCAGAGGTGTGCTGCTGAACAGCGGGTTGTGTGAGATTCTCAGTGATGTCAAACATGGGAACAGAGGCGGGAGAAGGTCCAGCAGAGGGTATGTCCCCAGCGAGTTAAAGCTAAGGTCTAAATGCTCGAGAGACGGAAATACCACAGGAGAGGACTCGGGTGTGTGAACCGTCGAGATAGTGTTATGCGCTAGAATCAATTTTTTTAGCTGAGGAAGGTTGGAGAGCGGGAATATTGATGAGAGGGATGTGAAGGCGTTCTGCTCAAGGTTTATGGTTGTTAGTGTGTGTGGGAGTGTGATTGATTTGGGTATTTCGGTGGTGTTGTTGCTGGCCGAGAAAAGCGTGTGGATTTGGGGGAAGAATTGGAGGATATGGGCTGTCTGTGTTTGTACGTTAGTTTAAATATGTGGGCGTAGTAGGAGGGGGATGCGGGACAAACTTCGGCCCAGTCAAAGAGTGTGTTGTTGACTTCTAGACTGACAACACCTTCGAATGGGGGGTCTCCATCTCCGATTTCTAGGGAGGAGAAGCGGTTTCCACTATATAAAAAAAGATGAGCCTTTCGTGGACCCTCCCATATCCCAATATAAATATAAATACCTAATCCTCAACCCCTTCAACATCTTCAACCCCCTACAAACTCCCGCAATATCCTCCAACCCCTCCCAAAGATTCCTGGAAACATCCAGTTCCTCAATCTCTACCCCCAATTATCAGTCCTTCCATATCATCCTCCTCTCTCCTCCTATCCCAAGAATAACCAAACTCACTGGGACAAGTATCAAGAACCTCCGTGGCCCCATCCCCACGCACAATCCTCATCCCATCCAAAAGCACAACCTCCAACTCCCTCAACCGGCCCAGCTTCTCAAGGATCTTGTCAAACCCCACTTCCTCAAACACCTTTGTAGCTGACAAACTAATTGGCTTCCCAATCTCGAACGAGATATCCTTCTCAGTCGTATACTTATTCCTCAGTGCTTCAAGAAAGGTGACAGGCGGGTCGGGCGCGCGGGTTGTTCGGATGAAGGTAGAGGAGTTGGAAAGCTTTGCTATATACCAAAGGCTAGATTAGTGGCCAATTTTTGTGGCCTGAAGGATAGCGGGGGTCACCTTCAAAGTACCTCTTCCCACCATGCTGACCAGAATGTTTACCCCGGGAGACATTGTCCCACTCGACTCCCAGCCATTCCCCATCAGTACCAGTGACGGGCCCAATGTACCGAACGGTACACAGGCTTCCCGAGTAACTCAGGCGTTGGCCGATGTGGAGGGCTGACATTTTGGATCTGAGGTTGGTGCTGGACGGTATGATATATGTAGGGGAGTTCGGTGTTGGGTTTGTGCTTCATCAACCGGGTAACGGGTCATCGAGGGTCACTCGGGAATTGCTTGAGCAGTGCGGTACTTGAGGGATCAGATCCTTCAAAGGTACCGTAGAATCATAGATACAACACGATTCAGGGTGGGCCGAGTGGAGGATGTGGGGGAAGAAAATGTTTTGCTTCTACCCGGCATTGGATGCATGCTTGGTTTCTGACAAAAGATCCGACCCCCTCATCTCGAGTCCCATCCAAAGGGAACTGAAATGGGGCGCAGGTCCAATTTAACAGAGCTGCTAAAGGTCTTTACGACCATCCGAAAGGGTGGTTGATTTTAGACATCAACCCAACTCTAGTGCGAGGGATAGCCTATGGTTGTAGTGCCCAATATAACCTGGATAGAAAAGTAGAATGATGTGTTCGGCCATAGAACGATGAAAATTTCGCATCCCGTCCGCTCTGCGGTAAACAAGCATCGTATCGTCCGGTTAGTACTACGGTGGGTGACCATGTGGGAATCTCGGATGCTGAACTCTTTTGTTTCCTCTTCCCCCTATTACTTCTTCATGTGCTTGGGATATTGTCCGGAGGATGGGCTTCGATCTAGGATACGCCTTTTTTCCCCCTAGGTCATCTCGTCACAGGAGACATCCTTCTGTGTAGTTAGGTATATTCTCCGTTTGAGCAAATACTTTGGCTTGGAAACTTCCTGGAGCAGTGGTACAATCTAGTGAAAAGAGAACTCCTCTTGGATTGGTCACGGCACTTTGAGTGATGCAAGCGGCGGTTTTTAGATATCTGACTCAGATCTTCAGGGTTGCTCTTTGCGAAGTCCTGGTGTTGCATACTTCCTATATTCCACTATTAAGTCCCCCAATTCCCTCCTGAATATCCCACCATGACGGCTACGCCCTGAGGCTTGGGAGCTCGAAGATACATTAAAATTGAGAACCCCAAGGAGATTCTTTTTGATCTCTAAATGAAGGATTGGCGAGCTAAAGCTTTGGGTAACCGACCTAGTGGGATCTTATGTCTTGGACAGGGGACGATTAGAGTCATTAAAGTCAGATCTTACAACAAGACGTAAACTCAACCCTCAGAAATCAATGTATACGGTTTATTCTGATCTATCACGATCCTTGCTCCTCCCCCAACTGTCAACTATTAAACCAAAAAAATATAGTCATAAGGCATAACATGATATCGCAACTGGTAATCCTCGAAATACTCCCCTCCTAACCAACCCTCCCCTCCTAACCCAAAGCTCAATCACCCTGTCTTCTTAATCCACCCATTCATAGCGACAATCAACCTAACCAACTCCCAATCCCCATCCTCACCAACAAAGTCACAAATCACAAGACCAGTGCTGCCGTCACCCTGCTCCCTCCCGGCAACATGATCGATAGCCAAATGCCTTAGTGTTTCGACATTCACCTTATCGGCAATCTTATCAGGCCAACACCTCACTTTCCAAAAATTACTCGCCGACAAAAAGTTTACAAACAACTGCCTGGTGGTACCTGGCTCCAAGGGCTTCGCCGAACGCTCCAAGTGCTCTTTAACGTAAGTGATCTTCTTACTTATTGTGGCGGGTTCAACCTCGCAAAAGTCCTGAACGCGACATATACGAGAGGACGTACTCGAGTCCGGGGTGTTATAGTCCCAGTGTTCGGCGTTGATGCCGAACTGGTGTATATCGCTTGGTAGCGTGAATCTGCGGAAGAGGATCACTTTACCACGGACTTGGCCGAGGGTCGGTATGCTGTCCTCCAAGTACCACCTTGAAGCTTCCTTGTCGATGTACCCCTCCTTCAATACCTTCGCAAACTTGGCGTCGTCGGCGTCGCCGCGGCCTTCCCTCTTTAGTGAGACGATGATGCACTCGTGCGGATTGCCATCCAAGAATGAGTACGCATCTTTGAGAACCTCGCTCAGGCCTTTGCATCCTACCAGAGAGATTGGGAAGGCCCCGTGCACGAGGGTTAGGGCGTTTGCGCGGTCGACATGACACCTAATGTCGAAGAAGCGGATTCCATTTTCCAATTGCTGCTTCGGGCCAACGGCCTGGCAGCGAACGGTTGGGAGCGCGGGGTAGCACGTTGGGGTATTGTGCGTGCCCGGGATGGAGATCAGGCTCAGCGGGGTCTCGTCCTTCAAACGCTCCATCCACCCGCCCAGCGCGGCGCTGGATAGGAGCGCGAGATGGCTGTGGTTCCGGTGAAACACCGCATTGAACTTATGCTCCGTTCCAGGACTCAGACAGTGTACAGCCGGCGTGTGCGAACTTAGGTCCACGCGGAATCTAGCCTCGCCGACCGTGAAGGCCAATCGCACGACTTGGTCTTTGTTGATCTTGATATCTGTCTGCACGATTGCAAACGCCGGTAGGCGTATTGATGCATCCTCCTCAGAGAAGGCTTGCGCGTTCTCCGCGATTGTCTGGGAAGACGGTTCGCCCGGCGGTGGTATGGCCTTTGCGACAAAAGATGTGAAGTTGTGGGCTAGGTTTTTGATGTTGGTTATGTTCTTTATCGTCACCGGCTGGGGCCCTGGATCCGGGAAGCGCGACACACGGGTTACAGATATTTCTGTCGAGGAGAGGTTACGGATTGTGAGGTTTTCGTGCGCCATTACGGTGGTTGAGTTATTATGACAAGATAAGTGGTGTACCGTAGGTCTATTCGGCGAGGCGAAGGCAAGAGCGAAAAGGTTGAGAGGAGGTTGGGATACTGTACCAGGACGCGTTTGGCGCGCCTAACTGGGCAGACTGGAGCTGGTCTCAGCCCACCACAGAAACTCCTGAAATCTACCACCAGCTCACCAGCTGATGCCAACCACAATGCTCGCGACGGGTTTGGTTTGACGGGTTATGAGAGTTGCGATTACTAGCTAATGAGATCTGGTACGTCTAGTAGGTTGATTTTATAATATGTCAGGAGAACGCTAATCCTCTTAGGAGCTTTGTCTCCGAATCTACATAGTGACTATAGGGCTAGCAGATAGTGGATTTTAAGATCTTTCACTTTACTTTGTCTGAATGGGGAATTATTTGATATATCTGTACGAGTACTGTATTATTCTGAGACTCCGTAGTGTGGAGGATATGGTATTATCGCACTATGTTTGGAATGGAGGTTACTAAAATACTATAAGAGCCAGAGTAATTAAACCTCACACTAGGATGTCTAGAATTCCCCTCTTTGGAATCACTCCGGAAAGGACTGGATTTTGGCCCTCCGCTGGGGCAAATGAGAGGAAAAATACAGCAGACCTTACTGGGAGAGGCAACTCCAACGTCCTGGCGTGAGGCCAAACCATGCTAGTTCTCACGGTGCGGTCATCCTGTACCAATTACTTTCTCTACATACCGGTGTCATATTTCACTTTGGGGTGGAACAGTATATTTCTTTCTTCAGGAGGGGATTCGAGTATTCGTCTATACTCGTATATATCGGAGGTCTTGTATGATTTTTGTTCTTTAGCGGAGGCCCGAACAAAAACCTGGGGTCACAGATATTGTGCCCTTTCAACTTCACAAGTCTAGCACGGTGAACCGAAGGGCGCATTTTGTCAGATTGGAGTTAGCTTATTTGTTTAGATTTTAGTGCAACAGTGAAGCAATGATTACATCCTTCGTATATCAAATTTCACGGAACTCTAGCTTGAAAGCTAGAGGGATTCTTTTCTTGAAGGGATATGGCTGAGGTCTTCTGATGGCGACCCGACAAATAAACGTTTCTGACCTCTAGGGTCTACAGAGAATTTCCTTGAATAACTGGTGTTATTACCCTTTTTTGTAGAAGGCGGTCTTGACCGTGGTTCTGCCGGACGGAGTGATAGATGGATAGCTTGGTTGAAGGAGCCGAAATTTCAAATCTCGTTCTTAAGAGCATTATTTCGCAATAGTCTTCTTCTAGAGAGATTGATTTCCCACTATATGAGAGGTAAATCCTGTGATAATTACGAATGTCGTAATTCACTGATACTAGTATGCCCCCCTTAAGCATGCAAACAACAGCTCTCCCTAAATACTCACAAACGATCACTCACCCAACCCAACCTCCAATTTTCGTCCCTGGCCCCACCGCCCCGAGCAAAAAAAAAAAAAAAAAAAGGAGGTATGATAGGATAGTTATAAACCAAGTATGATATGAGATTTCGTTAGCTCCAAAGTTTTCTTATCTCCCATCGTCGTTGCCCATGCTACTTTTCCACACCTGAGTATGTACGTATCCCATAAAGGTACGCAGCGTTATCACAACCACCCAGGCTTTTCCGGGCCAGGGGCCGGGGAAGTCCAGATGTGGTGGAAGCATGACTATTTTTCGAAACATCCGAGCAAACATAAATGTTGGTGAGAGCGAGAGTGTAAGCCAAAATTAGTCCGGCAATTCTGTGCATCCGATCTAATAAGCCCATCATCAGGGATATGCCGAAATTATTTCGGAAATTTCTCGGGATATCATGTGAGAGCATGTGAGCTACCTGATAGGATAGAGCGCCTTCACATTCTTTGAATTGATGATACTCCAACACTTATCCTCATGTTGTAATTTGATGCAATATACGCAGTACCAGCATACCACGGAACCATCCCCATACTCAACGCATTGCCACCTCAGATCTCTGCTAAGAAATCCCCCTACCACTGGCGTTGCCTGTAGGTGATTCTGATCACAGAGGTGATGGTAGCTTGACGAGGTCACAGAAAATTACTCACATTCCACCTGAGATTCGGCGGGAATGGCGGAATCAGACTATATAATTCCGACATGGGTGTTGGGGAGAGAGGCCAGAGGGGCAATCCCGCTCGTTAGTAGAAATTATTGGTGTCCAAGGAATACCTCCTTTTGGTCGATGTATTCCATTCCTTGTGCGCAAGAGTTTGGGCTTTCTGAATGACCAAGATTTTGATTGGGATTGCTTGTGAGTTTGATACGAACTTTCAACCCAGTAAACTTACTATAAGACTCGGAGGTCATGACTCACGGGAACCCCCCCCCCCCCAGATATCGTCACAGCTAGAACGTTCTCGATATCATGTTGAAGCTATGCTTCTTACCAATATTAGGGTGTTCAGGTCTGCTCGCCCTGCTTAAAAGACTTTGTGATATTCTCTCAAACACTCAGACCCTTTTTCACAGCCGGCGTCACGAGTGGGGAAACGATTCCATCTCGTGAACAGACTGAGGAGGAGCGGTCGATCGTAGATTTCTTGTTTCGTATGGTAAGACTTTGACTAGGCTATAACCAAGGGAATGATATCTTGTGCTCAACATTTACTGTCAGTCGTCAACAGTTATGAACACGGCAACTGAGACATATATATCACGTAGAATGTTACTCTATCTCTAGGGTACGCAACCGTGCCCACTGAACGCTCGCGAAAGTCTTCGTATTCTGTCTCATCATGTTTCTAGACCTAGAATGGGTAGAGGATCTACAGCGGGAGGGGGTATTTATAGGACCCCTATGATACGTGAAAAACCCATCAATTGAGGGAATAATGAGAGGTGAGGAAGGCGATCATTATCGTCATGATTGGCTCGATCGAATTTCTCTCTTCATCGCCTCCCTCTACCAGGGTTTCCTCCGAGAAAAACTCCTGAAATCCTCTCCCCCTTTTCTTCCTTTTCCCAGTTCCTGCGGCACACGTGCACACCCTCTCCTGCATTAGGCCAATAGCTCCTGCGCCGGTCATTGAGAGTACACAGTTCTGTAACAGCTTGCCTCTCCTCTAACATTGAGAACGGAAAACTTCAGACGATGACTGGGTGATAACTCATGATTCATCACTTCTATGCAGGTAGTATTTAAAAACCAAGAAGCACCAATTAATTCTCTAGGAAATACCAATCGCCTCCGTTTCCCCCCTCCAGAGACTTAGCAAGATGGCATCTTGAACCACTCCCCAATAAGGAACACTCATACCCAATCACTCGATCAAGAAACCATGGTTCTCAAACGCGGGATGCACAAACATCTATTAATGGGCATACCCAGAAGGATCGCGTGGTGACCCGGATACCGCTGCAGCAAAAGATGGTGTAGGAAAAACCAGGCTGCGCGACACGAGTTGCTGTGGCTGAACAGATGGGCATTGGGCGAGCCGATCGTAACCTGACTGAATACGACTGTGGCCGTGGTCATACTTCAAAAGTGATTGAGTGCTCATCCCAGTTTGACCCCTCCACTCACCTTGCTGCTTCCACGCCACCCAATATACCGCTATGATAATATTATGGCTCTTCGAGATGAAGCCGGCATAGCAATCTAGGTGATACTCACCCCCACACTACCACCATCGCTATCCACTACTCCGGTACCAAGAGTTTTTTTTTTTCCCCTCCCGATCCACCCCGTTTCTGCAAGTCTGCCAAGTCGAGAAATAGCACTTGCCAGTTATGCTCTTCATCTCCATTACTCGCCTTCTTCTCGCTTCTCCTCGCTTCTGAGGTTCTAACAATAACCCACTGCAGCGACATGATACAGTAGCTGAAAGCTTATTACGCCCCAATCTTGCATATATACGGGTTCTCTATTCCATAGTGTTGCCTGCTGGACTGACTTGAGGATAGGGAAAAAGGTTGACGCCGTGGTGGACAGATTCATTGAGGTGCATGATGCCGTTCGCCCTGCTTGCCGGATAAGTCCAGAGGCGGTTCTCGTGACCGCTCGTGTCGGTGCCGCTCAAGAAGCTCCTGTCAGATCCTATACCCACTTGCTTAACTGGAACATTTTCCATTTAGTGCATGTGGTAAAGGCTTGACCCGGTAATTTGGCTTGCATTCATTGTTTTAGCACACTCGCGAGGGGGGAGGGAGGAAACCAAGGCATCTTGTCGCATCACGGGGAAAGCTGGTGTGATTATCCTGCTAAGAGGGGAATAACTGGATACTTGCCCAATCCGATCCAATCCAACCCTAGCACCATAGCTACAAGCAGTGCTCGGGAAACAATTGAAGGAGAAAGAAAGGAGTCGGGACACCTCCTGCGTTGTCCGTATCCTAGCTAACAAAAATACCCCACATAGGATGACTGCCTCCCTCCATTCCCTTTTTCGTTCGTTCATTGGATTGGCCGGGCGTTTGTGGTGTTCTAGAAGGATGGGTGGAATCACTCCTACATGTCAGATCAGGTCAGATCAGCACTGTTTTTTTTCTTCTTCCCTTCCTGAAACCTAGCACATTAGCGGGAATGGGGCTAGAGACAGGATGCCATGACTGACCTCCTTTGATTGCTTGCTTGCTTGATCCCACCGCCGGGTGAGGCCAGTCTAGATATCATGTCATGTTAGGCTTTCGGACTCCCAGTTGGCCCATGTACCGCTGCTTCACATCCAAGATGAACATCCTAGCCGGCCTGGGTCTTGGGTACATACTAGGTGCCCTACCTACGTGGCTGTTGTTTACATGAGACCAGCTAGATTCCATGACATTGTCGTGATCGTTCTCTTAGTATTGTTATTATTACTGTTCTGGAAGAATTTCTCCCCCCCCCCCCTCCTGTCGTTGAAATCAAGAATCAGATCAAGCACCTTAACGTATAGTATGCACAATTAGGGGTATAAAAAAAAAAAGGAAAAAAGGGCGCTTTGTTTGTTTGTTTGTTTCAAAACAATTACCCGCGGGAACACGGTGCAGGCAGGCAAACAGATGAAAGGGAAAAAAAGGGAAAAAATGAGAAAAATGAGAAAAATGAGAAATAAAAAATAAAAACTGAGCTCGTTCCCTCGGACCATGCGGGAATTTTCCCACCCTCCTTCTTTTCCTTTTCACAAACCGTTCCATGATTGGGAAAAAATGGTGGAAGGAGAGCCAAAAAACAACTCCCACACCATAATTTTCTGTATAACCAAAAAATAAAAAAAAAAAAATAAAGCCCCAAACAACCTGTGAAAAACCGTTCAGATGCAAAATTATCATTGACCGTTCAACACCACTGTAACCCACCTTTGTGCCCTCCCAAATCCTCCGGAAAGTACCGTGCCAGCTTGTGTAGGAGGAATATGTCTTGGGACGTCGAGTTTTTCCCCTTTAAGTAACGCGTTGTTTTGTTTTGCTGGTACCCCTCCCCCCATCAAAACAGCTCAAAAGTCCTAACATATCTCTCCCTCGTTCAAGTCAATAGAATTACCGGTATGTAAAAACTAGGTGATGTATATTGGCCGGTAGTACAAGTATCCAAGTTTTTGTCTCTCTTTTTTTATTTTATTTTTTTCCCTTGCCGCGGCGGCAGCATGGAAAGACTATGGAAGGGTTGTACAAGACCTTTTGCCGCAAAGCTTAAGCTGGGGTCTGTGGGGGGGGGTGTGTGGGAGGGTGGGAGGAAGGTTGTTATAGTAAGCTGCCATGGTGTAGAAGAAAGAAAGGGAGAAACGCGGTTTGGGGGATGGCTGCGTGCTGTGGGTGGATTGGTATCATATGATAGATAGACATGGTGCATCTCACTGAAAGGGAGTAAGGAGGAGGTATAGTGCCTGTACGCTATTGTACATTACTGCACTGGGCGTACAATCCTCTTCCTCTCCTCCTCGTTTTCGTCAAACGTGCGCATCGCACCTACATACCCAACTCACAATAGGAATTCTTAATTTTCAAAAGTTAAAAAATGGTTGGAGATAATTATGATGTGATAAGCTATCATACCTTTATTTTATTTATTTATTTATTCAGTCTTACTCAACCGCCTCATCCATCACAAACCTTCCTCTAGCAGGGCGGAGAAGGGAACCTCACCCCTCCCCTCTCCTTATCATATGACATTCGTACAGTACAGTACAGTACTGTACTGTACTGTATTGTATTGTATTGCGCCAACCAGCCGGCCCATTTCCTCCCACCGAAACTTTCCAGTGAATGATATGATACGACACTGTAGAAGAAGAATCCGGAGACGACAACGCACGCTACTTCTTACCACCGGGAGATCGCCGAAGGAAGAACAATTGGCAAATTGGTGGAAAGTGACTTTCCCGTTATTGTTCCTACAACTTTATTATAACCCCCCCCCCCTACCTACCATAGTTATAACTTGCGAGGTGAGGTGTGTCTAAGGATATACGTTACCTACCGTCCCTCGTGTTATCGGCACTTGTACTTTTTTTCTTCTCTTTACCTTCCCCTTTCTGCCTTTCTGCCTTTCTGCCGGCTTGCCGTTTCATCCTGTTTTGTTTCTAAATAGGGTAGTAGTATATAGTATATAGTATATAGTATATAGTATATATGGGCACAGTAGGGCTTTACTTGGCGGGGGGGGTTGGTAGTTTTATTCGGCTAATTTAACAGGGGCCCAATAGAGATTAATATAAAAAATTGAACGATATCGCAAGTTATAGCACACTGATGGTCTCCCCCCGCGTGCGTAGTCAACAAGGCGAGAAAGTCGTGATTGCTAAAAAGCATATTTTTGCGATTTCGCGTTAGTAAGAACAGAACCATTTGGTAGAGAATGAATTAGGGGGGAAGGGAGGGAAAGTAAAAAAAAAAAAATGGCCCTAGAGAAACGTTTTGAAACCGGGGGTTCTTATATTATATACATTCCGCCGGATTGGGTATGTATATTTCCATACTGTACTGTACCCGTACCGGAAGGGGAGATGGATGTTGAAAAAGATTGTTTATTATCATGTATTATCATACTGGAAGGTCGAGAATTGGCTGGGTCGGTTGTAGCACAAATCTCTCTATTGTACTCGCAGTGGATACTAAAATGTATTTTTTTTTTTAAGCTTCCCCCTTTCTGAATATTACACACATACCCTATAAACCCGGCCCCCCCCTCCCCGATTATCACGGGCAGGTATCTTAAGTATGATAGTCAATGTCACAGAGGTTCACGGGGTAGAGATACTTGTAAAAATTCGGCCCCACCCCCCCCTCCTTCTTACCCAATCTTTAAACCCATTACAATACTTCCCCCAAAGGATCCCCAGACTCCCCCTAACCTATCATCCCCCGAAGAGCCGAGAAAGAAAGAAAGAATGAGAGAAAGTGACACATCGATCGGGGAACGCCCTATCCACCCCGAAACCGGGCAAAACCCTTTTTTGAGCTTCCCGTCAAAGAATTTCTGCATGCCCATCCCAACCTCAACGGCCCAACGCTTCTGTACCACGACAAGTACTGTTATTACTGTATTGGCTTGGCGATTCACGGGGGTAGCAGGGTGACGATGAAGTGGTGTAATCGCAATATCGTGCCTTGCACTTGCAAACGGGGGGGGGATGTACGGTTTGGTGGTGGTATAGTAGGGGGTTTTAGCAATAGGGGATCTCTCTCCCATGCGTGGGGGGGTCATGATAATGGTAACTACACGTGCGATCGCGTTGTAGGATACTGTACTTACAAGTACGAGCACGAGTACAGTACAGTTCAGTGCGCATTGATTGAGGCGAAACATGGTAAGACGGTTTTCTCTCTCTCTCTCTCGATTTTGAAAAAAAAAAGGTTTTTATGCAGAAATATTACTGTGCTCTGTGTATCATGACAGCGGCCGTTTAATCGCTATAGTTCGCTTACGGGTTGATCTTATTCCATCCCTTACTTGTACAGTACTGTACCCGTTGCACCGTCGGTGCTCCGTCGGTGCATATGATACCGGTATGGGGAACACAAAGAAAGTGTGGTTAGTTAACGTTGCTGTCCGTCTGCCGGGTCGGGAAGGTTGGGTTTCTTGTATCACGGTGGTGGCTAATGCCGATTTGATGGTTTATCATTATTATTATTATCATTATTATTATTATTATTGTCCCAAGCGCTGCAGGGAGTGCTGTATGGTCATTCCACTGGTGATGATTATGAAATTTTTCCCGGAAATTCTGGGGGGAGGGGGGGGTCGTGCGGTTGTCCAACCAACTCATGAGGAGGAAGGAGGATAAGATGAGAATAAGGTTTTTTGTTCTCCCGAGACTGACTTGTCGGTTTCAAATGATCTCACAAGCACAACATATGTGAGCATGGATATGATAATGAGATAGATGCATCATATCATACTCCAGACCACGTACAGTACCAATGATCGTTGAGGCTGGATTGCGAGTGGAGGAGGGTTCCACCACCACACTCACAGCCGCCACAAGCCCCCACTCCACCTCACTGCATCGCGGAATTTATCATAATATTATCATAATACATGGCCGGCTGGAAGGGAACAAGGAGACCGTACGAGTAAGATGGCTCGTCCCGACGCTTCCTCCTTCCAGATCCGCCGGCTAGGTTATGTATTCGTGTTTGCACAACTGTAAGTATGCATCGCCTACACCAAATCGCGATAACAACAATCTAAACTTAATCAGCATGCTGACGGTTACCATACACAGAAAGAATATTCCTTCCGAGAGACCTCGTGCAACGCATATTACAGCCCCATCCGCCATTCCTGTTGAGAGCTCCTCCCAGTGAGGAGAGCAGGATTCCCGGAGATCTCCCGAGAAATCCGTTACTCATCAACGCTCGTTGTCCTCCCCCCCCAAGGACCGAAGCTGCAACGCTCCAAGGGGAAGCGGCTCTGTAAAACTGCATGCAGTTACTGCGGTGGGGTTGGGTTAACGGATCCTGCAGAAGGTTCTGGAATAACGATATATTAACTCTTCTATCGTGGCCGTTCACCATCATCACTTCCACCACCACTGCCTCGGTATTATAGCCCTATCGCGAAAGAAAGAAAAAAAAACCCTGTGATCCCTGAACATATTCAGGATCCGACGCAAGGCAGACCTCTGCCAACTTGGTGTTTCAGGGAGAGTATCGTACTTTACAATCCGGTGGAACCACAGCAACCCCGCTCGATTACCCCTCTAAGTTTGTGTTTGCGCTCTGCAGCCGATACAGCGCAAAGAGACGACAAACCTCCAACGGCAATAGTATAAAATGTCTTCTGACAAGAAGAAGATCCTGTTACTTGGGAGGATCGACCAGTAGGTTCAATTCCTGACTCCAATTGCATTTTTTTTTTTTTTTTTCATTCTCTCCTTCTCGTATGGCCACGGGAGGGGAAATGTGAAGAGGGAAATAGAAAATTGGGGGAAAGTGGGTTACATACCGTATACCCGTAACTAACCAGGTGACATTAGCGCACACTCGTACTGGAGTTCACTGAATGATGTCGCCGAGGTTATCGTTCCCAAGGCACGCAATAGAGCGGAATTTATAGAGGAATGTAAATCAGGTGCACTCGATGACGTCTTTTGTGCCTATCGAACCTTTTTTTCCGTAGCTATAACTGGCCGAATAGACGAGGAGCTCGTGAGTGCCCTACCAAAGAGTCTGAAATTCCTCTGTCATAAAGGTAAATGTTAATCTTTTCCTTCTCCCGCGAATCGCCTCCCAAGAAGATGTGGTTGCCGCTATCACGAGGAACGCTAATATAGATAAAACGGAGGAAAAAAAGGTGCCGGTTATGACCAGATCGATCCAGAAGCATGCACCCGGCACGACATCCGAGTGTCGAACACCCCGACAGCTGTCGACGACGCAACGGCGGACGTAAACCTCTTCTTAATAATTGGCGCCCTTCGTAACTTCAATCAGGGCATGGTCCAGCTGCGCGAAGGCCATTGGCTCAAGGACATCCCTCTGGGACACGACCCGGAAGGGAAGGTCTTGGGCATTCTGGGACTTGGTGGGATAGGCCGTGCACTGAAGAAGCGGACTGACGCCTTCGACATGAAGGTTATCTATCACAATCGGAAACAGTTATCCCCAGATCTGGAAAATGGGGCGGAATATGTCAGCTTCGACGAGCTTCTTTCCAGGTCGGATGTCATTAGTTTGAATCTCCCCTTGAACGTATGTTTTCCTTTCCCCCCTAAGGTGGACCCGGACCCGTCGGTATGGTGTTGTAGTACCGTCCAAGACTTCTGACCACCTCGAAAATGGCTAACATTGAGGACGTGACCTGCAAAATAAATTCTCAATCTAGTCCGCAACAAGACACATAATCTCATCCAATGAATTCTCAAAAATGAAGGACGGAGTGGTAATCGTGAACACAGCCCGTGGCGCAGTTATGGACGAGGAGGCGCTCGTGCAAGCACTCGCGAGTGGAAAGGTGCGCAGCTGCGGGCTCGACGTGTACGAGGAGGAACCGAAAGTGCATCCAGGCCTTTTATCCAATCCCAGGGTTATGCTAATTCCGCATATGGGGACTTACTCTCATGAGGTATGGTATTACTTTTTGCGTAAATAGCGGAAGTAGAGGAAAACTAATGGACCGGAAATAGACTCTAAAAGCGATGGAATGTTGGACCATTGATAACTTGCACTCTGCGATCTCCACTGGGAAATTGAAGTCTCCGATACCTGAACAGGCCGATATGTGAGGTATATGGGTTAGCCAGGGAGATGGATAGCTGGATAGATAATCACATATCATACATACAATTTAGACCATTACTCATACATCTACATGTACTCGAGTACAGTACTCGAGTACCGGTACCGTACTTGTCCCACCTCCACACAGTATCCCACCTCAATACGATGCCGGCATCCCATCTCCAAGTCCATTCCCAAAAATCCCAAGCCAGAGTGGCGGAGCCAGAGCGGAACGAGTGATGATGTGTACCAACGATATAAATAGACAAGACCAGAACTTTTTTTTTTTTTTCTTCCCTTTTCCTTTCTTTTTTTCTTCTCCCCTTCTCATCACATCGATATATAGAGCAAAAACCCTGTCCGCCCATCCCAAGATTCGATAAGGATAAGGCACTATATTTACAGCACTCGAAGGGTACAGCACGAGTGCTGCACCGGTAGACCCAGGAGGACGGACAAAAACGGGTAAGCCGAACACGATAGGACCAGCGAGGAGCGAGGGTTATCAATGGAGAGAGAAAAAGGGATCAATGAATGGCTGTTCAGTTCCCTTCCCGGCGTTGTCCATATAATATCATTACTGGGTGTGGCTTATCCACCCATCCATAGAAGTTAACTTATCACGCAGCTCGATAAGTTATAATAAGTTTCCGGATGCGGTGGATGTGGAAGATTACAGCACCACACCTAGATAAGACTAGACATACCGCCTGGTTGGGTTGTTCATTGGAAGTATCAAAAAGAAAGAGATGAGAAGAGATATTGATGCATTGATGGAATTGGAATCGATTGGAGGAATATGACAACTAACGAGTTAGTCACTCGGGGATTCATAATTGATATATATATAAAAAACCGTTTTTGAAGAAGAGCGAATAGGTATAATATTTCGACGTCCTCACTGCCCCCCCACCCCCTCTCTCTCCCCCTCCTGCGAACAGAATCCGCAACATCCGGTTCGTGATTCCAAATAATTACTTTTATTTATAAATTGTTCATAGAGATGGATGGATAGTTATCCTACCTCTTACCTACTGTACTGTACTGTACTGGAGTATATGATACTACACAGTTGCGTTTACGGTAGTATACAATACATCCATCCACCCTGCCAATCCCCCCCTCCTTGGACAAGTATGATGGATAGATAGATAGATAGATAGATAGATAGATAGCAGAGCACATGACAAAGCGCAATGTAAAGTACAGTACAGTTCGTACCGACAACCCATCAAACAGACAAAACTAAAAAAGTACAGTCCAACGATACATACATAATGTAACTGCACTGTATCATACTCGTATAATAAACCCCCCTCCCCCTGCAAAAACCGTGATTACATACCCATTAACGGAAAATCAACCCCAGGCCCATCAACGGTGCGTGGAACATACTCGAGTAAATGATTGGTTTTTTTTTAAAGAAGGAAAAAAGAAAGAAAGAAAAAGAAAAAGAAAAGAAAAAGAAAGGGTTCCGGAAATTTCCTCGGTACCGGTGTTCGCCTGGGTTGCTTCCTTGCATGTTGTTTTTTTATCGGCTGTTAGTCGGGGGAGGGGACAAAGGAGGGTTCGGGGTACGGTACTATTGTAAAAGTATTCCCCCTTGCTGCCCTACGTGGGCCACTTGGTATCATATCATCATAGCACCGTGATATCCATCGTTACTGTGAATTGGGGTATGATAAAAGTAGAACAGTAGTGGGCAGGGCATGGCGGTCCGGTCGGAAAGGAAAGGAAAGGAAAGAGAATGAAGGGAGGGAGAAAAAGATCTAGGCTTTCTCAACTCTCTCTCTCGCTACATACACCTTTTTTGCCAGTGAGGGTTTATAGTGCAGTTACAATTATTTACTGTAATCCACGGCGCTGCTGTGTCGTGTGATTATTTTGGGGGGGCAAAAAATTCCAATCTCTTCTCTTACATATGGCCTCTCTCACTTGGTAGTATTTTATAAAGTATCATACACCCCTCCTCCCCTTCCTTTCCCACCGAGGGCACCACCCCCGCGAGGTACGGGTGCCGTAAAGCATGATAATTATAATAGCTCAAAAGGGTAAAAAGAAAGGCAAAGGGAAACGAAATGGAAGAAAAAAACGTAATCCTGGGAGCGAGAAATTTCGTTCACGACATTAACAATCAATCAATGAAATTTTAACGGAAATGATAAACGTCGAAAAAAGGAAAAAAAGGAGAAAAAAAAGGAAAAAGAAATACCATAATACCGGTATTGTTATACTCGAGTACAGATAGTTGTATTTTCTTTTCTCTCTCTTCTCCCCCTCTTCCTTTTGCCTTTTCCCGCCTCGTCCATCCACGCACCTTTCCCTGTTCCCTTGATAAGCCGTTCCAGTTGTAAAATAGAGTAGAAAACTCCCAAGTCTATATCATGCCATAGCAAATGAAAAATGACGAAAAAAATGAAAAAAAAAAAAATGCCAGGTTAGAAACACAGTATGCAAGTAGTAACAAGAAATGAATAAATGAAAAGTAGAAAATAGTTTAGATGGAGAACGGAACCTGAAGATTTTTAAGGCAAGAAGCAAAAAAACCGGACGCGCCTTTGAGGGAAAAAAGAAAGAAAGAAAAAAAACGAGAAAGAAAAGAAAAGTCTTTTGGAATCACGAACCACAAAGGGAGCAAAACAAATATACCCGAGTGCCACGAGAGAAAGTAGAGGAAAAGAAATCGGGCACAGAAAAGAAAAGAAAAAGAAAGAAAAAAAGGTTATAATCTGAGCCAAAACTAATTTGATCTGGAATCCCCCGATGCAGTCCAACAAGGTACCGAAGCTGTCATGTAACTCGTGGTACGAGCTCCGAAATTTGGGGGTTACAGTGCAATAGTAATAACAATAGCGATAATAATGGTAAGAAATGATGAAAAAGCTAGTGACACGAGAAAGCAAAAGCGAATGGAGCAGGCAGAACACAAACCAAAATAACCACTTAGATGCGAGGCCATTGTGCAAAAAAAAAAACACAAACCGCCCAACTGACATTTATCCCATGCTGATGAATAAGACAGAAAAAAGCAAAAACAAAAAACAAATGCCAACGCAGAAAATCAGATAACCTCCCGAAACTTTTTTTTCTAAGCTGCTTCGTATTCATAAAATTTCGTGTCTCGCGTAAGTAATACCAAAACCGGACACCGCTCAACCATCAACGCAAGAAAGGCGTATCCGTGATAGCCTCCTTCCACTGTCCCACCGCACGACCAGCAATCCGACGGCTCAAGGACGACCCAGACTCAATTATTCCTTTCGCAACACCCTCGATGTATGACCTCAGAGAGCCTAAGGAGTGTGTAGAATCTTCCGCTATCGCCGGATCCGCAAGTGTGTCATAAGGTGGACTGCTTCCCAGATGCCGTGCCTCCGCAATCGCTAAAAGCAACTTGCGAGTCTCCTTTCCTTCAATAAATTGTTTGCAATCTGCAAAGGCGTTATCGATCTGTCTATTAATCTCAGAATCTCCCCCTCTTGCTGCAACAACCCTGCCCAAAAACCTCCAAAACAACGTTGTCGGGCTATCCTCGGTGATCTTGTCTGCAGATGTGACTCTTGGGGACTCAGGCATGGGTTCCAGGGGCTGTCCTGTAACAAGTGCTTCCACGATATTGATTCTACGCAGGGTTTCCGCACCACCCTCATCCCGGAAATCGCCCTCGTCCTCATCTTGGCGGTTATCGGCGGCGGGAATGCTCGTTCCGTAAACCATTTTAACCCCTGCCCATAAAATACCAGCACTCTTTCCTTTCCTCCCAATGCTAGGATCCTCTTCCTGCACGAATGAACCCCCCCGAACCCGAAACCTCTCAAAAATCTCAGCCATCAGTTCCACCAAATGGCTATCCGAGGTAACCTTCGCCAAACCCGGCCCCATAAACCATCCTGTTTCCAAAAACCTGTCCAACGCTGGAGCATACCGTGACCTATAGAGAGTCTTCATCTCCTCAACCGTAGTTGAGGGAGTGGCATAAAGTGCTGTTTCGCTGGATGGGGGTGTGAGGGGCTGGGAGCTTGAGACAACAGATAGGAGGTCATCAATCTTGATTCTTTTCGCAGGGTTTCCACCCGGATTGTCCTGCAGCCTGCCCTGACCAGGGGTGGTTGAACGAGGTATTGGGGTAACTCTGTTAGTAGTATCAGATCCTGAAGAAGGAGGACTGGCCCTGTCTAGAGACCGTTTCAATTCCGGTCTGAAGGTTCCTTGGGACTCTGGTAACATCGGAGGATTCCCCATAATGGGAGCATCAAGAGCCGGATCTATCGCGGGATACTCATAGACTTCTGACGTTGGTGAGCTAGTTGCTGTGGAATTCGTCTGTGCACAATTCTGCCCACCTAATGGATTTGAAAGCGGGTAAGAGAACGAATACAGTGGAGTAATAGATTGGGGAGTAGAACCTCCTATCGAGGGAGCAGGCTGTATGGCTGCGGGCCCCGGCTGTGCTTTGAAAATGGGATCATATCCTAAACAATCCCGCTTGCTCTTTGCACAATTTTTACACGTAGGATGTGCTTCGTCACACTGTACCACAATAAATCTCGTAAGTGACTCTTCGTTTCAGATATACCACCGTTGATCTGAATCGACCCGCTGTAGCGGAAATTATTCCGGAGTTTATCCGAGCAATGTAAAAAATAAAAGAAACGGAGTCCAGAAGGGCCCCAAGGACACATACCTTAATTCTCCTTTTTCGGCACGTCAAACAACCAGTCTTAGTCCTTCGTTTAATCTCTTTCTTATGCCTCCCACCAGACATGATACGCTCGTTGTTTGCCGAAGGCAATTGATAACGCAAGGCTTCTCTCGGGGAAGACGTGATATTGCTAGGGTGAGTTGGGTGAGAAGATGGCTGCAATCCATGTTGTGGATAGTATCCATGAAGAGGCTGGGGGGGTTGAGGTAATGGTGAGCCCATCAAAGGAGAATCGATCTGCTGTTGTTGCGGAGGTGGTGGTGGGGGTAGTTGAGCAGGAGGATTCAGCCGTATTGGCGGAAGATTTAACGACGGTAACGAAATAGGCTGGGGATATGGTGACCCCCGAGAGCCTGGTTGTTGTTGCTGCTGCAGCCCAGAAGGATGCTGGTATGCAGACATGGACGGTGACGGGTAAGAAGCAGGAGATGGGTATGATGTTGGGGTCGGCCTTGTTGGTGGCGGCGGGGCCTGTTGCTGCTGTGAGATCATGGGCAAAGGGGCATATTGATATGGCGGAGAGGGCGTCGAGTGCACCGAAGAATGATCCAAATGTTGAAGATGCGGTGACCCTCGATGACTATGAGAGTATTGGCTAGGTCGATGAGGATCGTAGGAGCGGCCGAGTTCAACCATGCTCATCTCGATTATAGACCGGGGCTGTTGGTGTTCCAAGATCCTGATGAGGGTTGGTGATGGTGATGTTGCTGCTGCTACTGTCGTTGTAGTTGCTGCTGTTGTAGTTGCGGCGGTAGAAGGTTAAGGCTGAAGTCGAAGCTGATGTTGAGGACACGACTATTGTAGGAGATGAGGGTGAGGAAGAAGGTAGAAAGAAGAACGGCTCGTGGGAGACGGAAGGGCCAGGACGGAAGCAGACGGGATGGCGATAGGCTGATAAAAGAATGAAATGGGTTGATGGAGGGTTGCAGCCAAACGCTGCGGTCTGGGTTGGATGGGTTGGGCGTGTCTGGTGTGTGGTGTGGGGGGGATGGGTGAGTGGTATGCAGAGCGACTACCAGCACCACCGTTAGCGAACGGGAATCAGGCGGCCTAGTGAATTGTGGCGGTCACGCCGGGGTGTACGAGTGGTGGAAGGGGAAAAGAAAAGAAAAAAAAAAAAAGAGTAGAAGAATCGACGGAGAAAGCTGCACTCGGGAAACAACGGCGGGCGAGTACTACAAGGGGAAGCGGGATAGGATATACTGTGAAGCAACAAGTATGAGGGTAGACGAGGTGGAAGGTGAAGGGAAGGGAAAGGGTGGGTGGGTGTGAAGGAGAAAGCGAGGGAGAGACGATATGAGAGAAAGGCATGCAAGCAGCAATAGCCTGGGTAATATGAGAAAGAGCAAGCCAAGCAACAATGGCCCTGTACGAGTACAGCACTGGTGAGCACTCTGTGTCTCTTGACCGGCTTTGGCTTTCGACCTGACTCGATCTGACGGGGTGACTGAGTGACTTAAGGCTTGACTTGGATGACTCGACCTGACTCTCTTGACCCGACTTGGGGTTGACCTGACAGCCACAGCAGAAGAAGATGACAACAAAGAGAGCAGCAACGCCGTGGATGAGGAGCCTCGCCAGAACAAAAAAAATAAAAAAAAGAGGCTAAGGGAAAACGGCTGCGGTATATATGGAAACGCACCAACTGGGTGGGAGCGACGGGGCGAAATTGGGCTTTGAACTTACCAGGAGGAACCCACTCGGCTCAACAACGGGCTGAGGGCGAACAACTAAGACTCGCCGCCTTTCGATGACTTCTTGAACTGCTCCAACGGGATAAGGAGTGAGAAGAAAAAAATTAACCGAAATGAATCCCCGATAAAAAAAAACTTACCGTAGAAAAAATATCCCCGAAACAAGAATGAAGAGCAACGATAGTCTAAAGATAAAAATAAATATATAAAAAATAAAAAAAATAAAAAAGGAATACCAGACTAGGTTCAGGTATGCTTACGTCTAATACTCGTTGCAGCCCCCGTTAGTCCCCCAACATGATAGAGAGCGTGAATTTCGGGGCAAGGAAAAAGTATGATAAAAAAAAGGAAATAATTGGTTTGCAAAACAAATAAAATAAGGTATGCATGTGGGCACGCGAAGCTGCGTGAGTACGTGCTGTGCGTGTACTGTATGGTTTTTATGTGTGATTGAATTGATGTGCGTGTGTGGAGATATGGAAGGATGAATCGAAGGAGGAAAGAAGGATGTGTGGGTGGGAGAGAAAGAAGCAAAGAAAAAAGTATAAGGCAGAAAGAGCCCGACCAGGTAGCAAAGGAAGGTAGCAAAGGAAGGTGGCACCGGGGGTGGATTAAGGGGAGGAGAGGAAGAGGGGATCGGGGTGAGTATGATATGTACGAGTACCCTTACAGCGGCCCCAGAGCCAAATACTCCACGGTAGGTGTGTAAACTGCCCACCAACGGTCGTAAAGTGGGGTGAAAAGTTAAAGTATGATACGCACCGTACTCGTAGTGTAAACCCTAGGATAAGGTACCGGTAACAGAAGAGAGATGGGAGGCCACCGCAGGAAATAATATTGGTTTCGAAGATTCGCCAAACAAAGAGCGGCAAGTAAAACCCAACGAGTGCACGGGGTTTTTCTATTTATGTCCAAGCGGCCAAAGTCAGCATTGAAAGCCCCAAATCTACTATGATACCTGAATGCCGGCAGTGCTTGCAGGCTCGATGAGGGGTGGGATAAAGGTAAGGGATGAGGGAATGACGGGGGCTGTATGAACGAAGTAAATGAAATCAATGTCAATCTGGTCAGTTAGGCACGGTGTGAAATAGCCAACGGTACTAGTACGAGTACAGCACGCTACCGAGCAGAGCAGACGCAAGGGCACAGTACAAACAGGGTTCCATAAGCAAGCTTATAGGGAGGTATGATAGCAATAAATAATGCTGCCAGACGAGAGCGAGTGAGAAAAGAGGAATTATCACAAGTACCGCACTGCGTTGGCCAAACTTGTCGTATACGCTAATAATCTAGGTCACCACCCCCCTCCCCGTATATGGCATGTATTTTAGCTATCTTCTGTGCCTAGTGCGCAGAGAGTACAGCACTCCGGCGGAACTGACAAGAAGATCGTGCGCTCGATTTATTGCCTGGTTAAAACCAATTCGATTCACTCCTCGAGAAGGATCACCGGGCGAGAACAGGCACAAACAGCAGAGCCGGAAGTACACTTGGAGCCGCAGGAGAGCAAGTAGACGGAGACGGACAGGGAAAATGTGAAAAATGATAGCGGGCTGCGGGCAAGTAATTGTAGGCCTCGTGGACAGAGGGGGTAATTCTTAACCGTGACTCTCCCCCTCCCCGTGGAGCACTATTCCGGCGAGACATGAGATGTGAGATGTGAAGCTGGATATGGTCGGACGAATAAAATCATTCTCACCCATCTTTCTGTATTATACGATGCTGATGATACACAAGAGGGAAAAAGAAAAGAAAAGAAAAGAAAATTTGAGAAATTTGAATTTCTCAAGTCAATTTAAAACTCGGCTCTCGTTTCTCTCTCGTTCGCTAAGCCCAGCCATCGTTGGGTAGGGGGTTCCTGACTGGTCGACGTGCAGTTGGTTGGGTATGAAGAGGATATTCAATTCGTGGAACAGGTTAGGAGCGTACTATCGATAAAATAGCCTTCGCATTTTTTCCCGGTCGCTCCCTTTTGAAGAAACACAGCAGGGCACAGTGCGGCAAAGTCAATACCGTGCGAGTAGAGTTGTCTGTGATGTTCGCAGTTCGGGGTGACAACCCTCAAATGATATTGATCGGTTGAGATGTATTCTATCAGGTTTCCCTTCTGGCTTTTCCACGTCCTCTTTTCCTTCTCCCTCCGTAGCTCTATCATACGGTGACCGCGTGGGGTACGTACCGTATGTGCAAATGTTTTTGTGGTTCCACTAAATCATCATCTTTTATGGGATATACGATGCGATAGACAGGGCTTAATACGAGACTCTCCGGAGCACGGACATCGGTTCCAACAAAGGGCTGTAACAGTTTTGTCATAGTGCCGGTGCCGCACACAAACGAGTTAAGCCAATCTAATCTAACATTGGGAAAAATTTAGGGTTTGGATGACATGAAAAATACCGTACAAGGCAATCTTAAAAGTGGCATGCGTTACAAGTTTAAGACAAGTCGAGGAGAAAGGTGAATGCGAATGCAAGCCTCTCGCATCCACATTGGGATGGGGATGAGGATGGGTAATGATGAAAACGGGGTAAAATATGGGACTCGATGCTGATGCGATGCACCCTGGTTTCGTGAGCCGTGAATGTGTTGGGGATCATTCGAGGGGCGTGACAGATTGGCGAGAGCAGAGTGCAGAAACCAAGAGGGTAAAAAGTGTGCATCTGGTGGTCTTGAAAAGTCAGCACGCATCGGTAAAGCTTAGGATATGCGTTGTACAGTACTCGATCACGGAAGTGCATATCCTTTAGTGCAGCTCCCATACACACCCATATACAGTATACACATCGCATAGGAAAGAGGGTATTCCCCCCTTGGCCTGCTCTCGATTCCTCCGATAGCCTAAGGTGCCGAGTGACCTACCGTACCGCATTGCAATACCGGTACCACACAGTGACTACCCTTCTGACAAGGTGTACAAGTATAAGTACTCGTACAGTGCTGTACTGATATTGCCGCATACTTGTAGTAATTGCCGGTACAACTTGAATACCTCAATCTTCCCCGCAAACGATATCACCATTTCCCTCTCCCGAGGTCACGAATCCATCCCCAAACACGAATGGCAAGTATTATTATTATTATTATTATTATTATTATTATTGCCATTGCCATTGTTATTTATTATTACCCCAGCGTCGGAAAGGAGGATTTAGGGATAACCAGGATCTCTCCCCCTCTCCCGGGTACGGTACTTCACCCATCTCCAATTAAGCCCTGCTCATCCCCCGGTCATCAAGGCCAGCAAATGAGGAACCATGAACCATACTTTTAAGATCCTTCACGCTGGGCAGGATTGAAACGGCAGCGGGAAATGGAATGCGAGAAGAATACAATGCTCTTCAGATGATAAAGGGCTTTGATCGAACAGAATAGAATGAACCATTTCTTTGGTCCGTGATGGTCTTAAGGCGGGTGTCGGTTCCCGTACTGTCCACATCGTGGCTGTATGCTCATGCACGTCGTCATCACCCTGCGTTGACTGAGATGTATCAGTCTAAATTTGGATCAAGTCGCGAAGCGAAGCCACGGGTTCGCATTTCACGTCCATCCATCCGTCCCACACGTCGGAACCGTTGCCATCCCTGCTCATCGCCAGACTCTGATTTGATCAAGTGAGCCCCTCCTTGACTGCCAGCTGGCAAAAGCTAGCCTCCGGTTTGTGATGGTCGGGTATGGAGGAGCAAGGGCATGGTAAGGGCAGAAGAAGCCTCACACTTCCTCACCCAGCTTTTTCTCAGCCTACAAAAAAGAAAGTGCCCTTCGGGAACAAGCCTATCGAAATACCTGTACGGGTAGCTTTTGTCCGTCCCCGTTGCCCTATCAAAAAAAAAAAAACTTATTTTTTCCTTCGCCCCTTTCCCCACTAACGATTTGTCAAAGATAGCTTCCCGGAAACTGTTACCTGACTTGGTCCCAGCCCGACAGCAAGTTTGACACGGCCCAGTGCTGGAAAATGTACGAGTACAGTATGGTACGAGTACTTGTATGGATCATCAACGCGATTGCCCGAAAAGGAAACGTTCTAGAAGCCTTCCCATCCAGGGATATGTTCTTCTGACAGACAACCCTGCGGTACTACCGGTACCAACCGATGTTGAGGCCCTGAAAGGTCACTCCAATTTCGCGGCTGTCAGAATGCTGT